TGGGAAGGCTGGGGAGCACAATCGAATATGTCTTGTGTAAGAGGTAATATTTCAACGGGAAGGTAGCAGTTGTGTCTTCTCTCACGGCCTGTGTGATTCCATGCATTTGTTCGGTGCAAGACACGCCTCGCCTCTGCCTTCAAGTTTCACTTGTCGGGATTTTCAACGAAGAAGTTTCCAGAAGTAGATCTATAGCGATCAAAGTGAAGTGAATTTTCTCTTAGTTAACTGGTCGACCTTTCCAATATTTAGACAAGTTCCCATTATTTCGAAAACACTCCTAATCTGAAATCTCAATAAAAGATTTAGAAGTCAACTGGCGGTTGAGGCTGCCCCTCGACTCAAAAAAATGTCTGAAGGGGAGTGGATGACTGTTCGAGCCAATAGGAAAAACTGTCAAATGCAATTTCAATCTTCTAGACCTGAATCGACCCGGCCTCTTCTCTTTCCCCCGCCTTTTCATTTCATTTCTCGCACGTTTCGCCTGCGACGGATGAGGAGTACTTCCGCCATGACTCATCAACACCGTGAGATGCGTGGACCATGACACTTACAGTGCGCCGTTATCTGCTACGCCGCGCTTTGGTTGCAACCAGTTAGACAGCGCATGTAAATCGCCTCGTGTAAGGGTAAAGCCGTAATGCTTTGCTAATTAAACGGCGCTGCAAGTACACCACAACCGCATTCTTCCAGATTTCCGGAAGTATTACACCGTAACGTGGAGTCAGATACCCTGACAAAAGTAGGTAATCATCGATATTTCCATTCGTGCATCTGCGTGTTATAAAGCAAGAAGTTGCATGAGGAAAGGCTATTCTGCGCTACGACTGTGTGACTTCAAGATACTATCATGCCTCAAGTCCCCATTAGAGGATTCATCTATCTTTCCTTAAAGGTTTCTTGGAGGCACACAAATTGTGGTTAATAAACTTTAATATTTAATCGTTCGGACTGGAACCTTGAGATGGTTCAAAGCTGCTTCTGGCCTTCAAAGCTATTTCCGGTTCTCGAGCAAACATTTGAAATGGATTTATGTTGACTTCCAAAACTATTTGATATTCCGACGCAAAAGTACCACACGGTAGCTCGTGAACTATTCAGGTAGGAGCTCGATACGAGTAATGACTTGTGCTATCTAGAACCATTTTCCTGTATCATTGCTTAATAATTTGCGCGTCGGATTATGGTGTAAATGTTCCAGATAATGGCGTTAGCTACCTGCCCTGGATCTGCTTATGGATCCTGGCAGATCCAGAAACCACACAGTTCCAGCACGTGTTTGCTCGGTTCCATAAAAGTTTCATTGTGGAACCAGAAATGATCACAATCCTAAACCCTTTTTTTTTTTTAGAGTGTAGTCAAGGTATAGCTCGCAAAAACTCAACTCCTCCCGAATCCTCGAACTTTCTCCAGTAAGATTTTGAGTGTCTAACGGCTACTTCGGGATACAGTCCTATTTTAAAAAGTGCTTGAGCAGGCACCCTACCTCACGAAAGGGGAGGGGGGCTCTTGTCGAATAACGTTAATGATAGTGTATGCAGTGGTGTCCCCAGAAATAATATTTGGAGCAGATTTGGAGGTGGAGGTCCAGTTTATTTCCAAGCTTGTGCCTTTTGGAAACAACTGTGGGCTTATCGAACGAGGAGCGGGGAGGAGGAAGGGAGAGAGGGTGTCGAGTAATTCAGAACCACAAAAGGAAGGAACTATAGATCCCTCCCCCCCCCCCCCCCCATTCCTTGCGTGCGTCCGCCAGAGAAAAAAGATGATATTGAGGTTTTCTTGGGAGAAAGAAAGTCCCTGGCCACGCCCAGCCGCTGAAAAATGTGCCTAGGCGTCGTCCAACCCCACCCAGGTTCCACGGCACCCTTGGGACTACGAGTTTTGGAGGCAACGGAGTTTGAGTTGGCCACGCGGGGATGCTGGATCGACAGTTACGTTCAGGCTTCATTCGTCAGGTTCCTCATTCCTTTGCTTCCCTTCTTTGGTGTGTCTCAAGGATTTCTCTTATTTGTTATTCCATCGAACATTTACGGACGACATCGTATAGAGACCGGGAATCGATTTAACACTGTCAGAGGCTGCAAAAGCCTCCATCGATTTCGGGAGAGAAGCAAGCCGACAGGGGGAATGACCTTGCCAAGAATATTTTTATTCCTTCACCGTTTATACGCATTTTGTGTGAGATACGGTTTTGTAGGAGGGCCAGCCAAAAACTGATGTCACTGGTTCCTGTTCTTCGAAATGAAAATGAGTATGGCAATATGCATGCCTTCGAGCAGAAAATGTCTCTTTTTTTTTGCTATTTCATATTGTGAAGGTGAATAATACTGGCTTGCATCATCCATTTTTGCCAGGACTCTCATAGCCTCATCCTAAGAACACTTAGTAGCATTCGAGATTCTTCGGGCAGAAACCAGGCTTTGGAGGGATTAGACCCAAGGATTCTTGCGATAAGCTTCAAGAGCTCTGCGGGGAGAGTGCTCTTCAGTATTGACAAGTCTGCAGGTAAGGGAATAAATTCAACGTTGAATGTGCAGAAAGATATGACATGCCTCCTTCCAGGAAACCTGTTGCAAATATTGTAGCATAAATTTTACGTCTCCTCATTTCCAACTTCTCTGGCCTTTCAACTCACTCATTCAACTTTTTATCTACATCGAAAAGCCCTCTCCTAGCCAATTTCTTCAAAATGGGAAAAAATAAATGTCTGTTTCCTTTCAAAGTCTGATTCTCATTGAAATAATCTCAAAACCTAGAAAAATCCCAAGAGCGAGGCACTGTTCGGGGGATGAAAATGTCAGATTCCTGTTAAACTTGCAACACCCTAACAGGAAGCCAACCATATCGAAATTTCGCTTCTGAGAACCGGAAAAGACACTATTACTTTCTAACTTCTGCTCTGGAATGTGTTTTATATCTGTCTGTATGTATCTGGAAAGTTTTTTTATATTTGAATTTGGTCTGATGCTGCTGGATGTGCGCGACACACTTAAAGCATTCCTGTGCTCTTTCCCACCTCGACCCCTACTTTTGAGCATGTTTTTCTCCATATATCACGATATCACGCATCTATCTTCTGCATCGACACGTGCGGTCCGTCCAAAGCACTGGCAAGTGAAGCACTTCATTGGAGCGGGGAGATCATAGAACGTTGCAATCCTGATAACCGAGACCGGCAAGGTCTGGAATTGCATTAGAAAAGCAGTGCGGTCGAGTATTCCAGAAACCATTCCAGAAATCATGTTCCAGTCCTTCAAAGAGAATAGAATGACGCTCAAGAAACGGTTTCTGTTGATTTAATGCTCGAACTACTCGACTCATGTGTTTGCTTTTAAGGACATAATTTATTTATCGAGATTGATCGAGAGGATCGTATTAAGTCATGCGACGAAAGAATCGAAAGGCGAAGTCGCATCGAATGTGCGCGCCTACTCTCGGAGGTAACGAAGACGACATCGAAGATATGCCGAGAATCTCACGCGGTTAAGAGCCATTTTTGGATTGTAGGGGATCCATCGTTACTGCATGGCATGGCCGAAGACGCTGAAAATTTAAATTCCGCTTTCTCTCCGTGCCAAAGTCGTCGGCGCTTTCACGGGAAACAAGAATAGAATATACGATCTCTTACATAACTGGACTGCGTGTGATCTATTTCGACATCCAAAGCAATAAATATTTGAAATTTTGAGCTCAAAATGCAATTAATGCGAAAAACAATCTGCGTTGTACTCGTTTAGTTGTCACGTGTCACATCCACGGATCATACCTCTATGCAATAATAAACGAGGCACACTATTGGCATCAACACGACAAGTGTTCCAATATTTCCATCAGGGCACCTTTCCTGTTTATCCCATTGCTCAGATTTGAATCATGCAGAGGACCTAGGGGCGCGTCTTCTGAGAATTGTTCAGAGTTTCCCCGCTTCCAGGAAATAGTGGAGATGAATGTACTCCCAGATTTCGAATTCCCTTCCGCAGCTTCCAAACTCCCTCCCTTCCCAAGTTAGAGATGCAGCATTGAGTGAATCTCGAACTTTTCGAGGCTTGCGTGCATGTTTTTCGACAAAAGTTTGAGTGGGAGCTAACTCCCTCCTCTATATGTTCCTCGCTATGCCCCTGTTTGCGAAATGTGACAGGGTGCTAACGAAGGCGGCAGGCCACTTTGCCCATGGCGTCTGACAGTGCTTCATGATGGCGCCAGCAGATCAACAACGAAACGCGCAAATGTTCATCCTCTCGGCGATAACATTATTCTCTTCTCTAGAATGTGGAAATGCGCATAAGGCACTTGGAACCGAACTGTGCCATCTTGGAGTCTCAATTAATTCTTCATTTCGTTATCTGCGACAGCCCATACAACCAAGAGTGAATGTCTTGTCAGGATCTCAGGATGCATATTGTGACGGATGAGGATGGTATCGAGAGGCACGACTGAATGTCCGGGGTTCGGTGGTGTAGTGGTAGCACACCTGACCGGCAATCAGGAGGCCCGGGTTCAATTCCCGGCCGTTCCTTGGCTTCTTTCGTCCTCTCATGCCGTCCGTCTCCCCATTTCCCCTCCGTAACAATATAATATAAGTATAATATAAGGATGCATATAATCTAAGTTTTCAGGGTAGTTGAAGGAACGTCTTTAGAAATTGGATTTAATTTCAATCGGGTTCCCTAATTTTGCAATTCGCAAGGAGATCTCGCGATTTTTGGCTTGGCTATCGTGATCCTGCTTCATGCAGTATTATCGCAGGACTCAGATGATGTTTGACTTTCTCTGAGACAGAGGTAATGCTGTGTACACTCCGACTCGATCGAGGCATGTTCGTATTGAGGATCCAACGAGGTTGGAATTCCTAACGGAGAGGAACGGAAGGCAAAACGAGCTGCGTCATTGCTGAGGGTCCCCGATCTCCCGAAAAAAAAAATCCTCTCGGCCTTGGATCGATGTTGGAGACGCACTGGCCCTGGTGCGGCTGCGGCACTGCAAAGCTCTCGATGCTGGCGCATCGCAGCGGGACTCGGGAAGAATGCCAACCCAACCAACCTCTCTCTCTCTCCCGCCCCTTCTCGCTCTTTCTCTCTATTTCTCCCTCCTTCTCTCACCTTCGCAAGAGCCATTGAGGAAGCGAGCTCTGCCTCTCCGCAGCTGTTCCCCAAAGGAAATCGGTCGTGGATATGTCATGCTTCCTGTGATAGTCTCGACTTTATCCAGTTCACACCTTGGTTCTGAAGTCGGATTGCATCGGGAGCGCCAATAGCATCAATCGTGAGTGGCATCTAGTGTGTGACAACTGAGGGGAGCCCTAAGCTTGAGTTCAGGGAGCACGTGATCGCCAGTGTTTATGTTGTCAAGGAGTTACGTCGGGTTATCTCGTTTCCATGAACGTTGCAAGCCGTGACACTAGCCAACAGATTGCAGTAATGCACTTATGAACAGATTTTCTATTATCCCACGTGAAGACCTTCACATAAGCCTGTCACCTTTTCAGCAAGATGATATTGCAATAGGGTAAAGCCTCTAACGTGCAAATGTTCACAGTTATTGAAATGCTTCAGATACGATCGTTTTGATTGTAGAAAATTCTAGAGCTAACGTTTTTACTTTCAGTTACTATGCAGACCAATTTTTTCGAGGTAGTCAGCGTCTTTCCGAGAAATAAGAGGCTATAATCGATTGCAGGCTCATTATAGTCTGGATTTTTTTGCTCCTGTCGACATCGACGGCGTCACAAGGTGCTCGACGCAGAAAACACTGCGAGTGAAAGGTCCAGCCAGATCGGTGGGTTAAAATGAAGATTGTGAACGGGAGCCGAAGTTACTCCTGACACATGAGCCTTGCATATTCCATAAACATAAGCACCGCAGCCAATGTAGCTTAGCCAGATGTAAACTCAGCCTCTACTCGTCAGTAATGCTACGTCCTCATTAAAAAAATTCGAAACGTTTCGGGAGCACAACTGGATTCTGTGAGCGATATTCCTCAGATAATGAGTAAAATCGCTAACTAGTTTTCCCCCGCAAACGCTTGGAAATTTTAAGGTTTTAGGATGGAACTTTTTATTTATTTATAAATATGCAATCTCACGAAGAACCCTGCGGCTTGATAATTACATTTTAAGCTCTAAGTACGCACTCCCACAAGTTATTCCTGAAAGCGCACCACTGCCATCCTTCCCCCACTCCCCCTTCCCCCCGTACTTTGATTCATCCAACTAACCAGAATGAATACTCTGGGGGCATGCCACCCTGGGATGTCTCACGTGCCACACGAGGTGCTGCACGTCACAGGGGTTCTAGACCCTATAGAACGCCTGTGGCCTGCTCCACGCTACTTGGGTGGTTTCTTAGGTAAATGATAATCACACTATTTACGATGCATGTTTTTTAAGGGTAAATAATTATAAGAGCTCACAAATCATAAAGTATGCAATGAAAAATGCAAGCTCTGGCAGTGGCGAAATCCTTTGTTCTTTCTCCAGAAATAAGATTGTGACATGGCACAACCATTTCTTCCCTTCTCTTAAAAGGCATGACGTACTATTGGAACTTTCCCAATCGGGATAGAATAGTGGCTTAAATACGTCAGTCACATGAGCACGTCATTGACTTCTTTGATGGAATGCAGGCGTTCACGGCATTAGCCTGCTATTCTATCCAGTAACATGAATGGAGACAGGTTCATGAATGAAATATCCACTGTCCAACCTTGACGAGTCGTCAGTCTTTCCGTTTAAACAAAGTGACTTGAGAAGAGAAAAACCTTTTAGCGTCACAGGCGGTGAAGGACTCGCTTGATTATGCAGCTGTCTTGAATCTTATGCCTTTGAATCAATAGAAGGCTTCGTGAAAATCTTTTAAGGAGGCTTCCGTGAAAACGCTCCATCGATTATTCATGACTTGGGATTATGCCCGCAAACAGAATCGATAGTCCAAATCGCCTGCCTCCGATCGTCTTGAATCTTCTTTTGACGTCAATAATATTCATTGATAGTGAAGCAGAACCTGTTTGGGGAAGGAAAACATAAAACGCATGGGGAAGCAACGTACCAAGATAGTAAAATCCGCTTATAAGTTGATGTCAAGGCCAAGGTTGTCAAAAGCTGTTTTAGCGAATGCAGCTGTTGTTTTGTTTTGTTTAGATAGAGCATATGTCATAATTATATTCTCATGAGCACAGCAGAACAGTGCAGCGCGTGCATGTCGCCGCTGGAAGGATATGAGGGGAAGGCGGAACGTGAAATGATGTCACGAATTATGAACTGGAAGTGGCAGATGCTTTGACTGTTACGATAAAATCTGTGTTTCAAACAAGGGATGACTGGCAACGGGCAATCGCCACTGGCTATCAGTAGCGGACAATGGAAACAACCAAGTGTTGCGGATACGACTTGGGTGAATTGATGAAAACGGTCATTCTGAGTCGCCACGTTACGATTACGAACCTTGGTACTTTATCCAGTTCAAGGAACATGATAGCTGACGCTTCCTACTTGAGTTGCGCGCGTGACGCGTCTCACGTGTCTTACGACTTTTCTGCGTACTGAGTCACGAGTGGTCTCCCGGGAACAACAAGCGTGAGCGCGATTGGTGGGTTTCATGTGGGTATATAATCGTGAGTGACGAAATCGTGAATGATCTCGATACTCCGCGGTGTACCATCCCCCCGCCGGAAAATAATTTATTGCTGTTAACGAGGAGGCTAGAGAAATTCTAGCCTCCCGTCCGTTTCTCATAGCTCCCTTAGATGATATCCTGGCTACTCTAATTACCTTCATCCCATCGGAATTTGGGAACCTAAAAGTTCGTAATCCAATCTGCATCGAGGGAGAAACTCAATATTCATAAAGTCACACTTCCCCATATTTTCTTTGGTTTTTCCAGTATGAAACAAATGTTAGATAGAGTTATATAGTAGAAATCATGCATGAATACTTGTTAATTGCAGTCTCCAAAAGATGCCGCAAGTGATCGTGATTTTTTTTCCCCCCGTGCGTGAAACGAGGCCTGTGCGTGCAAATGACCGTAAGAAATTCCTCACGCAAACGCCTCCATTTTCCTGGAGTTCACTGGTTCACTAAACGTGGCAGGAAAATGCTTCTCATTCGAGAAGCCTGCCTGGAAGATCATGTTCTATATTTGGTCTCATTTAACCGCAAGCGATGCAGAAAAATGAGGTTGTGCCGGAAAGAATCCCCACACAAGAAATTTCTGGTCACGCAACCAACCTTCCCTCTCATGAGGGGAATGGGGAAGATACCAATATAGAAAAGGGCTTCTGCCTCTTACGACACGAATCTCCTCTTCTCTATCGATCCCTTGCTGTTCTCATGCTATTCGCATGAACCACCTTGCTCTCAGTTTCCCAAGAATTCCGCAATGCCTACACTCTCTTATTTCGTATAGTGCGCGAACTTGGTAGCATCGATTACAGCTGCCATATGTCCATCAGTCGAGGAGCATGAGGTCATGGTTGGATGGACTGTTCCAGGTAATGTGCCGATGAGGTAGCAGCGAGAATTTGTGGACGGGATGCAGGAAGATGGATAACGAGCAGCCAGATCAGGAGTTGGTGAAGTGCGTTGTGGTCGGTGATACGGCTGTGGGGAAAACGAGGCTCATCTGCGCTCGGGCATGCAATCAAAGGGTCTCGCTGCCTCAGCTTCTCACCAAACATGTCCCTACTGTTTGGGCCATCGATCAGTACCGCATCTGCAAAGAGGTCGTCTGCCTATCTCCATTCCATCTGGGAAATGAGAATCTATTGTTCGCTTTCACTGAACAAAGCCGTAGATGATAAGAGAGTTAAAGAGAGGGCCTGTTATGCACTCGGTATAGGGCTTCGGTTCTGCTCTACCTGTAAACATTCCCTCATACTGTTCGTTCAGGTGCTGGAAAGGTCGAGGGAGATCGTTGATGGAGTTAACGTTACGCTTCGACTCTGGGATACGTTCGGCGATCACGACAAGGATAGACGATTCGCCTATGGAAGGTGAGGACCTCACCCAGGAATAGTCTTCGCCCGGGATCTTCATTTAGCTGCGACTAACCAGGGGGCTTTTTGGTTTCATTAGGTCAGATGTTGTCCTCCTGTGCTTTTCGATCGCCAACCCTGCTTCCCTCAAGAATTGTGCTGTGATATGGTATCCAGAGATCCGAAAATTTTGTCCCAATACTCCCGTTGTTTTGGTGGGGTGCAAAAATGACACCAGATTCCTCTATATGGATGAAGACTACCTTCGCTTCTGTAGAGGGAGAAGCCCGTTCATCAGGTCTTTTCAATTATGCCAATTTCACTATTTCTGCTTCCATGGGCTCCACTTCTGGCACGAAGCATTGACTTTAATGAATATTCTCAATAGACCGGTGACAGAAGACGACATCGTCATGCCCGATGAAGGCAAAAGAGTTGCGCAGGAGTTAGGGATCCCTTACTACGAATCAAGCGTTCTCACTTACTATGGAGTAAACGAAGTTTTCGAGAATGCCATTCGGGCTGCGTTGTATGCCAGGAGAAGCACTCGATTTCGAGCAGTTGGTCTCAAGAGGGTTCAACGTCCTTTATTACAGGTGAGCTCACATCGCACACATGAGAAACAGGTATTTTGTATTAGGGAAATTATTTTTAATTCCTTGCAGGTCCCGTTTTGCCCTCCAAAGCCACCTGTCCCAGAGATCACGATCCCACCCAGCTGTCTTCAATTCGACCTGGAGACGTTGTTTCGTAGCCAGGCCTACACAGATCTCATCCTTTTGACAGGGAGTGTCGGATTCTCAGCCCATCGGTTCCTATTGACAGCTGCGTGGCCTGCTCTCGCCAAGATACTTCTCTTCGACTTCAGTGTCGGCCTCATTCCCAGCCCTATCCCTCATAGGAGACTGTCGGAAACTCCCTCCGTCGTCAGTCAAAGCCCTCTCTCTACGATTCCAAGGAGCCTGAAATGTTCCTATACTTCCAAACTGATGTTTCTATAGGTGAGCTCGACAGGGGGAGAATCAACAGAATTCAATCAGGACACAGAGAGCCTCCTCCCGAGTGATTCGGATGCCTCTGAATCTTCAAGTTCCCAAAGGTAAGCTGTTGTGCCTTCGCTCTACTCTCTGACAATATTCAGTCACAGCAGACTCGAAAAGGTGAGACTTTGCTCGCAGTTGCCGCCTCGTGTGTTTCACGAATCGAGCGTTGGTGAAGGAGACGCCATCGAGGCAACTAGGCTGTCACGGAATTCCAGGTCGAAGGCTTCTGCATGAAAGGGAAGAAGGCTTCTACTGCCACATCTCCCACCCCGGATTTCAGTCAGTCCGCATCGAGAAGGTATAATCCTCCTCTCCTTGTTTAGAAGTGCATCTTCGCTAGGGGGTCAAGGTCCATGCTTTTTCAGTGCGAAGGACTGGATAATCAAGGGAAGACGATCTCGTCGGTGCAAACGATCGTATCGTTGAATCCCCACATGTCAGACCAGGCCGTGGCCTCGTGCCTGCATTTCCTCTACACTGGCCATTTGGATGGCTGCCAGTATGACATGGAGGTAATGAACTCCGGAGAGCTTCATTAATCCAAGATCATTAATCCTTTGCTCTTCATCTGGCCACGGTGCCCTTTCCTTTTAATCATCCATCTCACGTTCAGGAATTGAAGGAAGCGGCGGATTGCCTGGAAATCCCGCAACTATCCATCTATCTGCGGAATATGTGCGAACAGGAAGAGTATCTCAATCCCGACATTACCGACCGATTTAGACAGGTACAGTATGTCCTGATCTGACTCCACCTCTCATTTTTCCAAAACTTTTTGCATCGAAGAATTAAAATGTCATATTTAGGTGACAGTAGTCATCGTCTTTAGCTGTCAAGGATAGCGCCATAGATGATCTGAAAGGAAACAAGATGTAAATGATGCTATAAATTAATAATCTCGGAAAGACATTCTTGTGAATGAGCTGTCATGAAATAGCGATGCACTAATGCAATAGTGATGCTATCGCAAAGTGATGCAAAGATCATTGAGGGCTTTGGAAGCCTTTCCCATCACGCAAAGAACATGTGGATACACAATTTTTCAATCCGAGGGAATTCGTTTCAGCAGAATCTATGCTTGAGACTCCAGTCACTTTGTCTGGGAGAAGGGACGTTTTCGGATGTCCTGTTCGAGCTGGAAGGGGGGATCTGCCAAGCACACCGACCTCTTCTCATGGCGCGATGTGACGTCATGGCCGCCATGTTTCGAGGGGACTTCAGAGAAAGCAGCGCCAAAGTGGTCTGCTAATTTTTTGCACTAAATGCCATCATGATGGTTTCCATCTCGTTTCATGGGGACCTTCTCCCCTTTCCTTGGTCACAGGTTTCATTCCCCGGGGTAATGCACTCCACATTCCGCCAGCTCCTCCATTATTTGTACACGGACACTCTACCTCATGGAATCTTAGACACAGACTGGTTGCCCCTCATCGAGCTGGCCAATCGGCTCTGTCTCCCTCGTCTCGTGACCATCGTCGAGCAGTCTGTCATCTTGGATCTCGGGCAAGAGAGCATGTTCCACGTCCTACCTCTCACCCTGCAGCTTCTCGAACCCTGCCAGGTGGGATCTGGGACCTGGGACCTGGTTCATTTTGCATCCTCACGCCAATTCCTGCCTTTCCCTCACAGATGCATAATGCAGATCAACTGACCGATTGGATCCTCAGCTACCTTACCACCCATTATAACGAGGCGTGCAGGGAATGTCAGAAGTTACTCCGGAATCTTCATCCAGAAAACCAGGCCTATCTAAATAAACAACGATGGCCACCAGTCTGGTATGCATGCGGCCGTTCTCTGATCGAGACAACCTTAAAAGGATGACCTTCATGTTTCCTTCTTCGTCTATAGGTATTTGAAGGATTATGACGCTTACGATCGCTCCTTGACGGACCGCATGAGAGAGGAGAAGCCGATAAAGCCACTGAAACGCAGTAGAAACAACAGCGGGTGCCTCTGCTTCAGCGGGAAATTCCGTCGAAATTCTTGAATTCTGAGGATTCTTGAATGAGCTCTCTGGTCCCACTTCCTCCCTCCCCATTTTTCTACCAATAATTGAGGCGCTTATTCCCTCTTTCTCCTACTAAGGAAGGGAATCCAAGACATGCATTTGGAATTTTTGTTCACAAAAAGGGCGGACGATTTTCAAAGGCGCTCTTCGTTCAAATTCCCTCAAAGACATAATGTTCACTAAACTGTGTTTTGGAATGTATGAGGGATGGATAGGATGACATGGATTTTCAAACGTATCCATCGTCCGACTTCCGTCAAAGACGCTTTGGTTACTTTGGGCTGTGAATATGTATGATAATCAATTTATTTGAACGTTGTCGTCTGCTTGATAATCAAAGGGATTTCCGATGTTCAGATGCCCCAAAAGGGATGCCATCATGATTCATGATGTCCTTTTGTCTTCGAGTAGTAAGACTGTTTTTTTTTTCCCTTTCTTTGTGACATCCATCTCGGATTTTACAGCGACAACAGTCGAAAACGTTCCATTGTAGGGGACGGAAAAGTTGCGATGATATGCTCGTCTTTTTTTATTACATATATATCCAGTGTGTTTGATCTTTTTTCTATTTTGTATTTTACGAGGGCATCAGTCAGTGTGTTGCTACCATGGCTGTTAGATTTAGGTTTCATAGTCGGTGGGACCTTGCATTCTTCTTGCCCTTTTTGGCAGTATTTGGGTTCATTCTCTCTCCTTGTCATGATGTGGTGTTCACTCGCTTGAAGTCATCAGCAAACACACGGAAAAAAATTGCATCTTCACAAGATTGATCTGTGATATAGGCAGCTGGCAATCGCTTTGCATCCTCATCCAGTTCTTTTTCAGGAGGGATACAGCCTAGCACATCGCAGTTAGAAATTGCAAAGGGAAAGATTCGACTGCAGAAACTCTCTTCATCGGGGTATTTAAACCAAATGGATTGGGAGGAAACTTGTTTGAACATTGCAATCTGGATATATGCAATCCATCTTGTGGAATTTGCCAAAAGTGAAACAGCAGATGAACAGAAGGATCTTGGGCTTTTCCTAACATGAGATAGTCTCTGTTCTCTCCACTTGTTATTTGTTGCATGCTCAATGTTGTGTTGTACTTTGCAGGGCTCTTCTTGTCCTTAAGTCATTCTTGTTCAGGGTTCCCTCCCATCTGATCAGGGATAGAGGGATTCTCTAGATGTTAATATGTGCTGTCCTGGTACTTTTGCGGTTTTTTGTCATGTATGCAAAAGAGTTACCACTCTAAGGACGCTGTGTTCCCTGCTGAGTTCATGATCTCCAACAAGACTGGAAAAAAAACAAGCTAATTTAAAATTCTAATGATTTTAGAACGGGCATCAGCTGTGCATCTTTGAAGGAGAGATCCAAAGAACCTTTGTGATAGCCTCACATAATCCAACAAAGGACCAATGACCACGTTAAAAGAAAGTTTAGAGAATTTTCTGATTCATGACCCCCCCTCATCATGTGTGTCATGCTACCAATAACCGTATGTTTATATAATCGCGACTTTTCACAGCGATAATGGCTTGTAGAAAAAGAACGAGGCATATTTACTGTGCGGTGGGGCGAAGTTGGGAGATTTGTAAATGACAAAGCGAGGAGCCCCGACGTATGCAGTTTGCATACGTTTGAACTTCTCCCATCTCCCTTGCCATGTGTGCATGCTGCATGGCGAAGTCGTATGCATGCTTGTACTTTGATGGGGCAAAGGAAGCCTTTCTATAGACAGTCATACACTGCACTCTTAGGCAGGTAATGGGTATGTAATGGATTTCTCGTCGTTGCATGAATTACCGACCCATTACCAGGTATTACGTATGCGAAGACGTAGCAATGGATACATACGAGGTGAGTTGTCTTTTCTTGGATGTCATGGGTGAAATGTAGTGTCATGTTGTCGTAAGTCCTCTGAATTTGAGGATACTTGTAATAGAAGATACATAATGATTTGTAATTCTGTAATAAGAATCCAATAACGGTAAAATACTTAGAATAAGACGATGAAGATAGGATTCACCAGGGCTGAACAAGTGGTGCAAAAGAAGCTCACTATATGGGTGCCTTTAGAAAGAAGTACCCTTAGATGGAACTACTGAAATGGAGTATAGATTTTCTCACGCATGGTTGTTCTTTGTTGAAATTAAAGAATTGGGCACTTAAAAAACGGTAGCAATGCCAGAAATTCCGAAGTGTCACGAGTTTCCACACAGTCGATCGTGTCGTGAAACAAGCAAGAAAAAATGAACTGTCCAGGGGACAGTTCATCCTTTTTTCGGTCCTCGGGCAGCCTTATTTTCCCACTGATTCAATTGACATTGGAGGAATATCCGGGTGGGTTGAAGTCTCATCTCGTTGGCCTTTGCCTTAGAATGAGGGAAATGGGTCGGCTGTAACGGATGGAGAAAAAAATGGGCGCAGTGAAACGCATGTGACAGGAACGGACATCTGAACTGCTCAGTGGGAAATGGACTGTCAGTAATGGATCGGAAGACTGCTGTTCCATTGGGACCCATTATCAGTGACCCGTTTCTATTTCTTTCTTTAAGGAATGACTGGAAGCCATTACCGATTGTCTGCCTAAGAGTATATAAAATAGGCGTTTGTGTCACTGTTTGAGCACAGCCCTTTCATATAAGTGTAGTACACAAAATGAGAGCAACTGGCTGTCGATTTGCTTTCTACTGTCTGGAGATCTTTGGGCATCAAAAAAAAAGCAGGCTAATCTTGTCCTTGAAATGGGATCTCATTGTTCACATTCTTCTTAGCTCGTGATTTTTCGTCTTTGCTTGGTTTGTTTCTATCTTTTTTTAATTTCTTATGAGCATTTCGTCTGAATCACGATTCTTTGCGATGCACGGTCGTCGTGGTAGATTCTTCTCAGCATAAAACCCCTAGGTGACTTTAAGGTATCGTGGAGCAGCTTCGCTATTTTTCCAATCTGGAAACTCCTTGCTCAAATGATGGCCTTTTTCTTGGCCTCCAGTTTGTGGCTCTCTTTAACATTCAGTGTGTTCAGACAAGTCTGTCCTCGTTGCAGCTTTCTTGCTGTTCTTTCAGATCATTCTCATTAAACACATTCTTCATCCAATCGGTTAGAAGATTCTGTTCGTTTGCTGAGCATTGTTGATGATCAAAACACAACCGACTGAAATCCAATTGGAAAAAGCCGGGATCCAGGGATCCTCATCGTTGTCCTGCCATGACTTATTTGCATTTTCCATCCGTTCAAGAGTATATTTTCTATCAAACACGCTGGTCGTGTTTTCCTGTCTTGCAGTCGATATCAGTTCTTTTGTCTCAACATCTACCACTGCAGTTGGGTAGGTATCAAGTGAAAAACCTAATAGTTTCCCCGTGCTTATTACGTAGACCGAGGAAATCTAGTCTATTCTATCTGTTTTACTACTGTACTCCCTGGGAATGCTGATCATGCCATCTGTGTTTCTCTTTTGGTTCATGTTTTGTATTGAATAAAGATCAAACGCTTTCAATATTCTACGCTTATGTGAGGTGGGAGGTGGTTTGAGAACTTGTTTAATTACCAACACCGGGTCTTATCTCGATGAAACGTAATGCGTCAATGATCAAATGTGCCGACTCAAAGTAACAAAGAAACTGCTAAATTTGTGAATTGCCTTTCAAACATTAAACTCTACTCAAACTCTAAGTACCTCATTGGAGAGACGATGGAGATTTCGAGTTGCACGTGGCAGGAGAAAGAGCATACAGCACGCCCTCGCCGTTCGCGGGGGATACGTTCTTGAGACACCCGCGAGCGGGGAAACCGCGAATGCTGGTACTAAGGGCTTATGGGAAAAAGGGGGATAGGTTTCCGACACAAAAATAACCACATTTCGACAATAATAAATGGTGTAAAAATGGAAGAAACAAATGATGAATACGTCAGCCGGGAATATGTAGTTGCTGCTACCCGCGAATAGCCGAAACCGCGAATGGAGAGGGTTTGCTGTACTCTGTATATACAGTATATCGGATGGAGGAACTGTGTCGCCATTTCGCAAAGCATTTCTCAACATGGAAACAAAATTCCATATTTTCCCGTCCAATCGCGCGGTTTGTAAGGAAAGTCTGTAACATGCGAATCCGATTATTTCAGATTCAGATTCTATTTAGCTTTCCCGGGAACGATTGCAGAAGAGTCGAATCCGACTCGGAAGCTATCAACTAGTGATCGTAAGCCTGAAACCATGTTTTCCATTCCTTGCTTTTGACGCTGGTTGAGTGAAAAAAGACGGCAGAGATTCTTATGCTTTCACCGAAACTTTCGCGTGAGAATCCCGGTATCTAGCAATGAATATCAGTTCAATCGCGATCCTTCATAGTCTATAACAGTTATATTGGCTGAGCGTTGGCGCGGACATACTAGCTGGCTCAATGATGTGCTGATAACGTAGTGGATATCCTGGGTAATCCCAAGAGTAATTTGGCAGTTTTACAAATTATTCACATCCGGGATACTTTCATTAATATAAAGTTGGACACATGCCACTCTAAAAGATCTGTAGTATCATTTCCCATGCCATAAATCTTTTCTTACTCTCTTTCTTTTTTTTGCTGGATGAATCGCTTGAATTTCTGATTCCTGAAACGAACGTCCTCATGACATTCTAAACTTAAAGGAATCACCCATCATTGAGAATGGAACTTCTTACGTAGTGATGAATATGATAGCAGTCTCCGCATGAACTGCAACTTGGGCTCTGGTTTCATGAGTTATTTCACGATTGCTGTCTCTTAGAGTCTTTCTTCGATCTCTCCTACACCCTTGCATTTCTGTGGATGCACTTTCGCCTTCAAAAAGCCCTAAGAAGTTCTGAATGAAAAGGAGATGACCTTCTTAAGAGACAGAACTACGTTTGGACGATGAATAATTGCATCCGTCAAAGGTGGAGGGGTTCATCGTCGAAACATAAAAATAATCTAGGGATGGATTACTGTATAACGTGCTATGCATACACGGAGAGTGCAAGTTCCCGATAAGGGTGCATATCCTCCCCGTGCATGCACCAAACATGGAACGGATATTCGGGGGGAAAAAGCAAGCCGATATCTCTTTTCACAAGAGGAAATTGGAGCTTGCGGGCGCTCGCATTTCTCATCACGCTGCAATGAAAACCCATCAGCCAGCAACTGTAATCGAAGTCCTCCTCATGCTGCACCTGAAGTCTGGTCTGGCCTATTTTTCCCATGGTCCTTTGTTGTGATATTAAAGGGCGATATGTTCAACCAAGGAGAACCATAACATCGGCAGATCAGCCATGCCCCACCAATGGGTAAATTGAAGAAAAAAGGCTGGATCGAGGGTGGGACAAGCTTTAACAATTTGCGAATCATGATCTTTTTTATAGAATTTAGGAGAAGACGATGCGCACCGTCCACAACGTGCGGTGAATTAATTTAATTTAATAACATTCCTCAATAAATAGCTAAGCAAGGGTGGTGAAATCTTTTGGGTTACAGTCACTTAGAAAAGGTTGACCCAAAAGCATGCAGCAGATGGCGGCAGCAGCCAAAGAATGAAGAATTGAGTGCGGCATTAATCCCAACTTATTTTTTTTCTGGGTCTTTGTTCGGCAGAAGCGCCGTGTCACATTCTGATGCCCTCTTCTTCATCTCTGAGAGGATTGATGAACAGGCTGGTCAGAAATGTAGCCAGGAATGCTTTCTGGGGGTGTTCTGCAACTTTTTTTTATTGCTCAAGTGACAGAAGTCCCTTCGTTGTTTCGCTCTCATCTCAAGGCACTCCGTTTCCATCTTTCAATTTATTGTCTCTTTCTCTTCATCGCATCATGTCCAAAAGAAAATGGAAGGATCGACTCCATTCTTTGGATGGACGGGTAACTGCAGCAAACACTATGGGTGATTCCAAAATTTTTCGGGAACCAAGAGTTCCGAAACAACGAGATTTGGCATGGGTAGGTCCTACACCGTTGCCAGGCATGCTAGAGTTTCGTTTATATTCATCTATCGAGCCAGAACCATTGAAGCCGATACATTGGTGGTATTTGCTGTTTACAAAAACTCTAAAAACTACGGAAAGTCGTTCAACTAAATTTGGCATAAACACGATTCAAACCAAGCATGGGTAAATGCTGAAAACATGAAGCCACAGTAAATGTTGACAGGGGAATGATACTCGAGAGTGCCATCCAGTGTCCTGTCATCTTCGACAGAGTGCAATTCCTTGTAGTGAACTCTCATTACACTCCATTGCTTTCATGAAGTCTTGCCCCATTTCGGAGGGTATTCCCCCTAGAACCCTAGATCCCCTAGAACAGGGGTGGGGAACTTATTGCTCATGAGCTGAAAAGTTTGGCTAATGAATCATGGCTAAAAATCATGATTGTTCCTCGTTTTTCTCACGTGTCAAAGAATGCACTTGTCTCATTGCCAACTTCAGGAAAAATTCTGTTGCTTTGAAAATATTTGGCTCACGAGCACTTAGCTCAATCTTAATATGGCTCACATGGTCAAAAAGGTTCCCTACCGCTGCCCTAGAACCACCCCCCCCCCCCCCCCCCCACCTCCCCAACCCTCCCCCGGTCATGTCCCTGAGGCCGGTGATGGGGACATTCCAGGCACTCTGTCTGAATCCAAGATGCTAAGTTGCTCAAATCGAGATTATTGATTACACCACTTTCCAGTATCGGTCTGATTCTCTCTTTCGGTGGAATGATGAAAGTGGATTTTCGAAAGTGGAATGAGGTCGAGGAAGTCCTCTTAGAAACGGAGATAAGCATTTCCCAATGAAGATAATGGGGTGATGGAGTCCCGAGCGCTTGAGCACACCACTTAGCCTGGCAGTCCTTCTCAAATCCCCTTAGTCGCTTCGCTGGTCGTTCATGGATCGATCCATCCCATCGCGGTCGGTTACCCGATTTTATCCACTCCGTTTCTGTATGTGAACCAAGGTTCATTCCGACTCTGGTCGATGATCTCTTTCCCCCTGAGTTTTTTTTTTTTGGTCCCGATACGAGACTGGTTTCTCCGGTCTTTGTGGTAGGATGACATTCGCCCTTGGTCTCCGATTCCTGTTCCGCCATTGACACTGCTGCCGGAACTGGTTTTCAGGGAATGCCGCATCGCTTTCATCAGGTGCCGCTTAACCTGTTGAGGGCGACGTGCCTCATATGAGGCCCGAACGTAGTCTTGCGCGCGGGGACTACGTGCCTCATATGAGGTATTTAAATTTTAAAAGGATCAATTCTGGGGCTTTAAGGAAGTTAAATGGATATTTATTAGTGCATATATTCATTAATATTGCTCATACATCAAATTTGCATTTTTTTGAGAAAAAAAACTCAGACCCTGGGGTACTGCAATGGCCAAAAAACCTAGTCCTCAAAAGGTTAATTCGCTCTCGCATTCTCATGCATTCGTGATCACTCGTGACTTCCCAGCCTCTCTAGCCTTACTACTTCCTTCGCTTATGAACCGAATTGGTACAGCCCTGTTCCGAATCACTCGATTGTCCTTGCGACTGTTCCATGGACATCTTGGAGAAACAGATGGAACTACCCCGACACCAGACGGCTCTTTAGGAAGTTCGTTCAACTGAAGTCAGGACAGTGGCAGATACAGAAATATTTCGTAGGAGGGGCGGTCTCCTAGTTCCTACCCCCCCCCCCGGATCCACCACTGAGTCAGGAGTATCTGCTGAAGTGTGGAGGAAATGACCTAAAAATGCCCATATTTCTGGCCGAGGAAATTCGATCTCGTATCAAATGGAGTATGAGAGACAGTTGGAGCGTTTCTCCTCTTTTCATGTCCCTCCGTGCCGCTTCATGACGCCGGCTGCTTATCATTTACACGCGAGAGAGCGTGGAGAGAGAATTCCCCTGGGCTTCGTGTAGAGATAAAGAATTGAATATATATATATTTCTCTTATTTACAACCCTGTAACTGCTCCTCACTTCGAAAATAACTTCCCTCCATCTTCTTTTATTGCCAAGAGCGTAGTTTGCTTTACGTGAAGGGAGCCTGGAAGAGCTTCGCTGCGAAATCTTTTATAATGATTGCTTTCAAAACGTCTAAATAATCATCACCATTTTCTTAGACGAAACTTACATGCATTAAGAAAAGCTCAGACAACATTCAAGGCTGATCACCTAAGCAGGAAGCATGACATTTTCTCCATATTCTCGGGAACGGAGGGCACCAGAGTCAATAGTCAACATTTGATACCGAAATTGAAACCAAAACCTAATTTCCTTCCATTTTCTTGTAAAATTCCGTTTGCTTGCCTCTATTTCTCCGTAGAAGATAGCAATACTTTTTTTGACACCCTATATTGGGTAAGGGTATATGCAGACCAGGATGAAGATTTCAAACCCCAGCAGTTCCTTCTTTCATAAACATGGAAAATGAGGCATAGAAAAATATTCTGCTCATACGTATAGGCTATTGCTATTTCCCACCATCTCAGTAGCAGCTGCTACATTTGATTCTACTCTACACGTAGAGGGAGGATAGTTATTTGTAGCAAGCCTGAGCGAGTAAATGCATGTGAAAGCAAGTTGTATAGACTGCTATCTCGTTCAGGATGAAAGTATTTTCCAGCTTCGCTGCAATTTCTGAGAGTTGTGCGCGAAGAGGGGAGGAAAGTCCATCCATCCATGCCTCACCTCTTTCTTTTCCATTTGGCCTTCGTCCCCGTCAACGCCGACGTCAGCACCCATGTTCTAACCCCGTCCCTGTTTTTATTGTCTACCTTATGTCAACAGATTCACTAAAAGAAACTTCAAGGTCAATCTAGCTTCCTAGACTCGTTAGCTTTATCAGATGACACCTCACAGTACGGCATACAAGATCCATACAATTTTACGCTGAAGAAACTTCAATGTGGCAAGGATGCAGTCCGGAGTGATCTTGGGAATGCGATTGCATATGGAAGAAGGTACATTGAATATTGCGAGCCTATAAAATTGAACTAGCAACATAAGCACCTTATTGCACAATATGCACCTTCTGCGACAAGATCGGGTTCAGCCTACGTATTTCAGGCCTTATTGCATATGGAAGAAGGTACATTGAATATTGCGAGCCTATAAAATTGAACTAGCAACATAAGCACCTTATTGCACAATATGCACCTTCTGCGACAAGATCGGGTTCAGCCTACGTATTTCAGGCCTTCCACTATTGCGGATGTGAATGGATAGCTTGGGAACTCTTGGCTTCAGCAGTTGCTTTCGTTCGTGTCCGGCCTTCTGAGAGACATCAATCTTTCTCTGCTGCGTGAGAGTGACCTTGTGGCCTTCCGCGAACTGCTTTCCCTGCTGAGAGATCTTTTGCTTCTCTAGCTCCTGGGCTTCATCCTGGGTTTTATGATTTTCCAAGAGCTTCTCCGATTCAAAGTGGGGTTCCTGCTGTCGTCTGACCTGGGCCGCTTCGTTCTTCTTCAAGTATTCGTTGAGAGGTCCCGCACCATTTTTGAAGACACGAGGAAACTCGCCTCGGTGACGCACTTGTGCTATTGACTTCTTTACCTAGGATAGCCAGGAACCATTGTAACTGTTTTGTAAGGTGATCTTTTTTAAATTGTCTATACCAGGAATGTGAAGAATCTCTCCCTCCTTCAAAGATTGATTTCCTGATTTATGCCTCTTAGATGAAGTCTGTATATCGAAATCCATTGTATAACGAGCGTAATGATGCCTGAATTGCCAAGAAACTTACAGTCTGATCTGCTGAGGCTGCATTGGGAGACTTCTTGCTCTGTTCCTGTCGAAAGACAGGAGATCTCTCTTTGAGGGACAATTTTTGGAATGAGTAGTAAATGCAGTGAAAGTAAGCTATGGAAGTATACTCACAGCTCTGAGGATGGCAAATCGATGAACTGGCTGTGATCGCTGTGGATGCTGCAAGGAACAGAGAACCGTGCCGCACCATAGATTTGAATCAGCAACATTTATGAATTTTCACCAGATGAGTGTGACATTAATTGCAAACCTGTATTAGTAGAATGTATGATTCAACATAATTCAGCCCTCATGCCGGATTTCACAGATATAAACTACGGCGCTCCTTTCACATTTACTTCGACTACCTGCTTGCGGGAAATTTGAATAGGACTTAATAGGACCAATAGGACTTAGTGCTTAGTGCTTAATATTATTTATGAAGGTTTGACCTAGAACACAATTGGCGATTTGTCCATGCTCTTTATCAAGCTATGAGGGTATGCGCAGTGCTGAATGCAATGAGGAAAACATTGAAAATTTCTATCTCCATGTCCTCAATTTTTGGAGAAAGAGAGAGAGAGGGTGCTTGCCGTTGTCTACAGCAGCAATCATGTCAATATTGGTTTCCATTACCATTTGTTTTTTTTTTTTAAATCATGAATGTTCATTTGATTGCGAGGCTTACTGGATTCTTTGTTGAGCCTTATTAAGCCTCTCGAGTTACAGATGTAACAAGTTAGTCCGAAGCTTTCACTTATCCGTCATTCATTAGCCCTTGCGATCCGATTTTGAAAATATTGTTTGAAAATGGGTAATATACGGTATATGCGCTTTTTATAGCATGCACAGCTTCATAACACTTAAGAAATTCAAAAAAAGCTCTCGTCTCTGACAAAATTGCTCCATGGCGTAACCCAAAGGGACTACTCGAGTTCTCACTTCGTGAAACGTAGGGTTTTTTCATAATAAGTAAACTCTCAGAGGTTGAACACTTTACATTCACGTGCAGGGCATTATTTAAAAAAAGAATGCAGTTGTGAGCCATTCTACTTTTGACTAATATGCTCGCGACTCACTACTCGGAAGGCCAGCGGATGATGCCCGCCTTTCTTCGCCAGTTGTCGATCCTAAAGAGATAAAATAAACGAGAGACTGAGTGTTCTTGCACCAAGACAATCGTTGCAGTATCGAGATGTGAAGACTGTCACCGTTCGGAAATTGGCATTCGATGGAGTGCAAAAATCATCAGGGAAATCACATGTGTCAAGATTGGGATTCCACCAGGTTCCATCAGAACAGTTCTACAATGGGGAAGGATAAGAGTAAGTCGAGTTCTGTGGAGATGAGGACGAAGGGAAAGTGCATCCGACTCACGAAGTGGAATGCTTCGCCGTTGACGCACTCATAGTACGACTCGCAGCTCTCTGGGTCCGGAAAGAACCCGTTGTCCTCTGGACATTCGAAATCACCTGTTCCTGTCGTCGCGAGCGATTCCGTCGTCGTGGGCGAATCCGTCGTCGTAGGCGATTCCGTCGTCGTGGGCGATTCTGTTGTCGTCTCTGTCGTTTCTGTTGTCGACGTACTTGAAGTTTCCTGGGGTGCTGCGGAGCAAAGAGTGAATGACCTCATGGGCTACGGTTTATCGAAAGGAGAATTTCTGCATTCGGCAAAAATGTGTCTCACTTGTCGGTCTAGGAAGGCGATCCCCGCAATCGACTATTTCTGGATTCTCGCATGTTTTCTTGACGTCATCGAAAAGGTTGTCTCCAAAGCATTCCAAGAGGGTGTGGTGGTATTCGATGCAGACATAGTAGAGGTAGCAGTATGTTTCGTGGGCAAATGTTCCCTCTTCCATCGGGCACTCGAAATCTTGAGTCGTATCTGCAGAAGAGAGCATTCCAAATGACTGGAGGATTCCAGTTCCACTCGAAATCTTCCAAATTGACACTCACCTGGACTACGAATGCTTCGATCTTGACAGTCTACAACCTCCGGCTTGTCACAGGACTGTGTTACGGTGTTGAAGAGACAGTCGTGCTGGCATTCAGTCTCTTCCCCTGTCATCCCTGCTCCCGTGCAAGAATGGTAAATGTTGCAGTACACCTCATGAGGATACTGCCCAGCATCAGGGCATTGAAATGCCCAAGACCCACTGAGAACTGGAATTTCAGGAACAGCATGTCTTCTCTGCTCCTTTCTCAATATAAGGAGCATTCGGGAGTTGTCGACTTACCTCCGAGGACGAGAGCGGTGAGCGGCTTCAAGCTTCCCATCTTTGCCACTCCGAGAACAATCGCCTGACTAGTGGAATAGTAGTGGTTATGAAGGGCCATGGATCTCTTATCGAGTATGAAGTGGGACTCCTAGGAATTTGCCACAGCTATAAATAAACAACATATGATGCGTCTTTACCTTCCTACGACGCATGATGGGATGGTTGGCGTATGGGGAGTACGATATGCAGTAGAAAGGTTTGCATTATCGCTAATGGAGTTTTATTTCCAATATGAACTTTTAAACATTTTTACGGCAAAAATAACAGAATAATAGCGTTATTTTTTGTTTTTTCGATGTTAGTACTTGAGATAGAAAGGGAAAATTTACCCCAAATACTATTCATCTTGCATGTGCTAGAATTTAATCTGAAGTTATTGCTCGTGAATGCGAAAGGGTTGACAAGTTATCAAAATCCCAGTGGAAAGTTTTGTAATCTTGAAGATACATTTACTCCTGATCAGTGGACTGGCAATAATTGCAATAGTCTGGAGGTATTGATGAGTGAAGTAGAGTGACGGAAACATCATGCTACATAACGTATTCCAGTCATTTTCGTTAAAATTAATTTCAATATTTTATTGCTTTCAATTTGCACAACGTCGGGGCGAGAGACTGGGTCTCGAGAGCAAGCTTAATGTCCATGGGATGAGACCCAGGCTCTGAAACTAACCTAGTCATGCGCTCGTGCTCGTGTGCTAGTTCTGCATGCTTGGGAAGGGATGCATGCGGGGTGTGGAACGTGAAAGAACCCCAGAGGTGAACGCCGGGCCCGGTTTCGTTAATCCCTTAAGGCAGTGGTTCTCAACCTTCCTTTTATTCCCATTGAACCTTCATGCATTCGGGGGGGTGACACCTCCCAGGTTGAGAACCACTGCCTTAAGGTAATAATTTGAGTCATCGTCTTGGCTTAGAGCTTCATCCAGGATCAGTATTTAGAAAGTAATTTTAAGTAAACTGCCTCCAAAAGTCTTTAGAAGTAAGCATACTTAAATAGCTAGCACCACAATGTCTTGAGATGCTTTTAAATATTTTGGGAAGGGCGGAGTATGGGATGATAAAGTCCAGTGTTCAACGATCATCGTACCATTCATTTCCGTGGCCCCTCCAGATTTTCCTCGCAGTGTTTGCAAAGTAAAGATAACTATTTTTCTGCTGCCCCTCATTTCTGTTCCACCCTCATGTGGGTCTTTCCCATGACTTCAGAGATTTTGAGTGCCGGATACACAAGGTGAGAACCTCTCGAGTCAAAATCAATCACATTTCTACCGGCTTCACGTGAGGTTTTCCTATTGCGCAAGTTGCATCGAGGAGGCCTCCTCGATGCCCCTCCCATGCCATGATAAAAGGCTCTTGAGTCACGGGTGAGTCAATGCTAGTTGTGTTGTAGGTGCTTGTTTGATATCGCTACGAGTATTGCTACTCCATAGATTAAGAATCCTCCTGACCACCCTCCCTCCTCTCCCCAAAATAGGTTTTTTTTTTTTAATGGCCATTCATGCAGCAATGCAGAGATTGTCCGATTGGCCTTAAAATGAATGCTGATGACTCGATCAATTCATCTGAATGTTTTTAAATTGTCACAGACGGTGACGTAGTCAGGAATTATTTTCTCGGGAGACCAACAGTATTTTGGGGGGCTATTTTATGACAGAGAAGTTTGATCTTGGAGGGAGGAGAAAATGTTCTGTGCATTGCAATAGAATTAAACAGAATCCTATAAATTCTAGAGAGCCAAGTAGGCCTCAATGGAGGTCAACAGTATTTCAGATAGTTTTTATGAAGGTTTAAAAGGACATCACAAAAAGATTTAATAAATTGTTGTTAACTTTTTCATACTTTTAAGTTGAACTTCGCTCGAGTGCGGAATAATGGCATCCCCCGACTCCTTCACCTTCATGCTGTCTTGTTGGGTGAATTTAATTTTAATTTCACTGTCATTATTATTTTATATGAAATATTTCGGGGGATTTCAGACCCCACATGCCCCACCCACTTCCTCCTCCCATACTCTTTTCGTAGTATCCTAGGCAGCAAACCACGTTGGGCCAAAATTGACTGAGTCGGAGAGCGTGGGCCCTCATCGGAGCTCGTGTAGGCTCCATATCGACGAAAGTGCGGACAAGCCATCTATCTCAATTATTCGGGGAAAAAAACACACGGTTCCCACAAGTGAATAGAGATGGCATCAAAATATCCGCGATTCTAGTGGTATCAGGTAGCGACTTGCTCTAAGTTTGCAGTTCTTTTCATGAAGCACCTGATCTTTTCTTACAGGCAACGTAGAAATCACAATAGCTGTTCAAATCATTGTAAATTTAAAAAAATTTATCAAACAAATTTTCAAAAATTAAATCATTTGTTTAAAAAAATTTATGGAACAGGGAGATTCCTGGTAATTGTGGAAAGAACATGGTTCAACAAGGTGCCTGACTCGACGCGTTGAGGATGCACTTCACAGATATTTTTCGATTGGGGCACCTATTCTTTGCCTCTCCACTGGGAGAGACGAAAAATAGGTGCCGAACGTAGACCCGATTGTGATGAAATAAGAGATCACCTAGGGGATCTAACCTGACAAGCAGGAAATGGAACAAATAAATGATGAATTATGCCAAGTTGGGGTATTAATCCAGCGGGGAAAGCGAATGCCTCAGGCGGAGGCAATTGAAGTAAGTAATACCTGTTGGAGTACTCCCAGCCGTACTGAGAAAGAGATTCGGCGACAAAGTTCCCGAAAGGGTATTAATCAGGAAATTTACGGCGGAAGAAGCTTTCTCCAGACCCCTTGAGAGCGCCTGGAAGTCATTGATTTACAACGTGGAACCTACATCGCATATGCGGAATTCCAACATAGGCCCAACGTAGGTATGCGGCCTGGAATATTGAAATAGATCTTCCCGAACTCATGGTTGAGAGTATAATCCGTTTTGGAATGTCTGCATGCAGGGATACGGGAGTGGAGACGAGCTGCTTGTTACACGCATTCCCCGCCAGACGTCTCACTTTCTACACCCTTGCCATCCGACCACGTTGTGAACACGTGCTTGATGTGACCCTCCTGCGACACTTTCAAGGACATTCGGCTCCACGGCGATCGTTCAGTCCTCTCCTCACGGTTTCTCATCCCAAGGTCACGAACTATCTCAGTCCCTAAAACAACGTGAAACTACTAGGCATCCGGTCGGTTTGGAGGCTTCCTGTCCGCCATGTATTTCAGAGGTACAAGAGATCCTCCCGGATCTACGAAACGTTGCACATTCGACGAGGTCTTACTTTCAAGTAAGTTCAGCGACTGAGGCAGGGTTTCCTATATCTCTTCAATCTTGTACTCGTTAAACATACTTTTATAAAACGTAGGAGAAAGACACCAGTTCGTGGGCGGGCACCTACTTGCGGATTATTTTGCGTTTTCTGCATTCCCATATATCTACGCATGAAATTCATATCCTCGACAGCTCGATTCGACTGATTCCGGCTTATTCTAGCTTCATCTCCGGTCTAGATTTTCTGAATGATAAGACAACGCTAAATCGTCCACATATCGGTGCCCGTCGGCGAACTGACGTCTATCGTTCCCCAGGTTATTTACACGAGATGGGCATTTACGATCACCTATGGCTAATCATTCACACTGTGCCCTTTAGTTTCTGATATATTTTAGAGTGATGTCAAAGAATATTCATAGATGTGCTGCGGAACGCAATAGTACTTGGGCATTGGCCATATATTCTAGGGGCATCCATACACCACGTATCCATTCGAGTGAGAGGGAGGAGGATGGGAAGTGATGATCTCGATTCTTTTCATCATTCATGTGAAACTGGTTCTTTTTTTTCTTGTCATGTGAAACGTCGAGGTATGGAGAATAGTTCCAAATCCTATTCCATGTCCCCTGGGGTTTGATGTGATTTTTCATAGTCACAGTCATCTTATACGTCGTTATCTGAGGGGTGGTGTCAGATTACGGTTTGGATGCTCATCGATTCCCTGTCGTCACCGAGCGGTCCTTTCCAAAAGTACTGTGCTGTTTTAGATGAAAGGTAAACTGAAAAGGCTAGGAGTTGTATGGGTAGGACCATATCGCACTGCGATTCTCAGCCGAGATGTTATCAAGCCTTTCAATTCCAGCCCTTTGGTCGGATGAGGCATTTCTGGGTTACGTTTTCGCTTTCAGTCTGTGTTCTCTCCAATTGATTACTCTCATTCATATGACAAGATAATGATGACTTAAGATATAGACTTTGATCGACAGGCTTGGGCGGTGGTAGCCCCTGAGTTGGTTCAAGCAAGAAGGGGTATGTATGCCACTGCACTGATGACGACCATGAAGGGATCAAGATGGCAATATGGATGACATTTTGTTTCATGGACGGTCCCTAATCCTGGAAAGATTAGCGACCGTCCTGTCATCTGTCCAACCTGTATCATAAGTCATGAGGCTGAGGCTTTGGAAGTAGGGATTTGTAACTCCTTTTCAAATAATACGAGAGAGAAAACCGACCCCAACCTGGTTGCATCCGAATTATACCGTCATATGGATGCATTAATGCACATATAATATTCGCAGGATTTAGCATGCATATAAAACAAATTGTGTAGAGAGGACTGGACATCAGTCTTTTAGGATGATTTATTCGTCAGCATGAAAATTTCGAAGGAGAAACTCCAGCAGTGCTCGAATTTCTTTTTCGCCGTCCGAAATGTTAAGAGAAAACAATGAAGCATTGAATTAACGCTTGAATATGAGGGCTGAGAATGGAACAATGACCTGTAAAAGTAGCCTGTGAGCAGTCTCTCTCCCTCTCTTTCATGAATCCCATTCCTTTTTGGTAATTGTGAGCCTCCAAAAGCACTACCTAAAATACTGAAAAATTGACGTTGTTTGAAGTATGTATAGTTTTGTCTTCATCGCGACATGGATTTTCAAATAATGCCAAGTGACACATGTTATAACAGCAAGTAATGCTAACAAATAACTTCTTCCTACACTTTTAATATTTCGCTATACTCAATTCGAAAATTCATGACAAAAATATGAAACAGCATCGCTTGAAGATTTAAGAAAAAGCAATTGTACCAACACTGATTACTACTACTAATTTTCAACGTTCTTTTTTTCAGGCAGATCTGAGAAATGTGACGAAATTGGAAAAATTAAAATGATAGTCTCGAATCCGATTCATTGAAGATAAAATAAACATTGTCTGGGCAGGTCAAATTCAACCAGCCGTCCAGCAAGTCAGCATGCTTTTGCTTGGTATAACTCATCCAAAAAAACTGCTTATCGTTGAGTTTCCATTAACATAATTTTAAAAAATAATTTTTTTTAGATATTGCTCGCCAAACTCATTAAATAATGCAAGAAATATATCCCCTTAAGTACCCCCTGTATACTATCCACTAATACGTCTTCCATTAAGTACTGAGAGGAATTGGGATGATGGGCAAAAGGGAAGCTGATATTTTCTTCGATCACTTCTAGACTTGGCTAGCCGAGGAGGAATTTACCTGCCAGAACAAGTTCCTACCCTCAGTCACTCCAAGTTGAAGGCTCTCAGTACACTTCCCTATGGGGAACTGTGCCACCAGTTGCTCTCAGAGTTTATTGAGGAAGACTACATGAATCGATCCGGTAGAGCTGCATTCTTCACAGATTCACTGTGTTTGTGGTCATCAGGTCATCTTATAATTATTCTCTTCTTTTCTTCGTATAGATTTCTCATCTAGAATTTTTGAAGAATTTGATGATCCGAAGGAAGTGATTCATGTTACCAAGCTTCAAGGAGGTCTAAATATAGCTGAGCTCTATTTGGGACCAACTCTTGCCTTCAAGGACCTTGCATTGTCTGTGTTGGGAAATCTTGTTGACAGCATATTGGAGAAGAAGAAGAAAAAGGCAATCGTGTTGGTTGGTAAGTTATTAATAAGAGCAAAATGGATGAAGGTTTAATCCTATTTTTGGGGAATCCAGAGCGAGTTCCTTGGTAATGTATTAATTGAACTTGATTGCGCTTCACTTTTGCACAGGGCATCAACAAGTTCAACAGTTTAACAAGAGTAAGGGAACCATAGTAGACTATCATTTCATACCATAAATATCCAAAATGATAGTAGACTCTCTATCGTATGGTACCACGAATACATTACAGCCAATCTGACAACAAAACAAATGAGTTAATTCCAATCGTATAGCATATGCATTCCTTGGGTTGTTCTGTTCTGCTTCAGCGACCAGCGGTGACACAGGTAGTGCAGCCATCCACAGTGTCAAGAAGATGGCGAATGCGGACATCATTGTGCTCTACCCGAAAGGGCGTTGCACTCACGTCCAGGAACTACAGATGACTACAGTCCAAAGCCCCAATGTTCACGTCTTTGCTGGTTTGGATTATTCTGGATTTTGTCATTGTTGTCACGAAGTTATTTCAGGAAGTCTTTTGATGCCTCTTGTTTTTTCAGTGGAGGGGACTTCTGATGATCTGGATGAAGTCATGCTGGCAGTCATATCGGATTCCGCCTTTGCTGAAGAACACGGGCTGCTAATCTTCAACAGCATTAATGTTGGTCGCATCCTAGGCCAGATCCCCATGTACTTTTGTGCCTACTACCATCTTTGTAATATAGAGACAATGGAACCGCTAGAAGTCGTCGTTCCGACAGGAGGCTGTGGCAGCATTGCAGGTTTTTTAAATATTCTGATCCAAGTGATAGTGGAGCGAATTTCTATCCATGCGGTTATCTTTCGGCTTTGATTGATCCGAATGCGAATGTTTTTTATTTCAACAGCGGGAACAATTGCAGCTAAAATGGGACTTCCAATTAAAATTGTGGCATGCACCAACAAGAATGATGTTGTGACACGTTGTATCCAGAATGCTGACTTTTCTAAGCAGCCTTATGTCTATCATACATATGCATCGGCCATGGATATACAAGTAAGTTTGCAACAGCATACACACTGTTAAAATTGAATAAGACAATACTACAGTGCAAAGGCTGGTGCTTCCTTGCTGCTGCACTATCTAAAATCCCCCAATATGCATTATTGACTGTTACTCTTTCCAGTGTCCATACAACATGGAAAGAATCTTTCATCTTTTCTGTGAAGGAGATGGAGATCTGGTTCAAGACGTGATGGGAGCCTTTGAGTCGCAAGGGAAAATAGTCATTCCTCCTCATGTTCATGCCTCCATGAATGATGTCATTCATAGTAGGGTTTCCTTCATGTCCATAGGGTATTCGTAGAGGAAAAGTCGATGTCAAGCCACCTAATTTTTCACTGTTGATGAATAAATGAAAAGTTCTCTTCCGTAGGAGAGGAAGGATAAGGTATTTTTTAATATATATGAGAGGTGAATCGGAAAACAAAGGTAGAAAAATGTACTATCTTTGTCCCTTTCTTTTTTTTCATGAAAGCTTGAAGTATGAACTTTCCTATCACATGGTCGCATTCAATTCTTTGACATAATGCAAATTCGCGTGAAGGGTTAGGTCTTGCTGGCTGTACTATTCCCAACACCTTCAAGTATTACTTCAGAAGGTGAAGACCCTAAAAGCATGATTCCATAATACTTTTTTTCAATGAAATCACAGAATGAATAATATCGCGTTGTACTGAATATGTAATGTGGTCTTGTGCCTCTTGTTCAAAGTGATTAAAATGAATTAGCCTCTTGGACTGTAACCGTTTTTAGCTTGCTTGCCCGATTTTTATCTAAAACATTGCGAGAGAGGTGTTTTTCTTTTCCAAACCGAAAATGAGGATGGCTTCTTAAGAATCAGCCACGTGCTTCAGGAATCTGAAATTGGTTCTCTTTCTGTTACAGTGTAAGAATACAGGAATGCAGACTTTCGGCGGTTTGGTTCACTTTACCTTGTTATGTTCATTTTCCTCCCAGTCTAACATTCTTCAGCTCTTCAGTATCTCTATTATTATTAATTTGTAACATTAATAAAGGTTTTAGGTTTTACTAGTGGAAAATTTTAGTTAGTTCTTGATAGATCTAGAATTAGCATGGTACTTGAGCACGTTGTCCCACGGTTTATGCAAAAGTACATATCACTTACAGACTATCCCTTTACTTTCTTTCAAATTGTAGAATCCTACTCTGTCAGTGATGAGGAGATCCTGAAAACTATGCGGAGATGCTGGGATGAAAATTCATACGCCATATGCCCTCATACATCAACTGCTGTTTCCTTTCACTTTGCTCACAGGTAAGATCCGTCTCCCCTCGTAAATTTTAGACTTCATTTCACGTTCATGAGAATGGGGACACCTGATATTTACCATAGAAGGCCACTTCGGCAGCCTTATTTTATATGGGGTATTGGAATGTTACCTGCATATATATTTTTAAATTTTATCTAGAACAGTGACGAGACAGGGTGGAATTGGTTTTTTACTATCAATAGTTGCATATCTCCAAGTATGAGCATGGATACTTCTTGCCAGTGGATTTGAATTTTTGAAGCAATGCAGACTCAGTCTTTTATGATCTGTCACCCTCACTTTCATCAGGATCAATTTGGTGACGTTCTGACGCAGTGAAAGACCAAAGAAGTGGAATCCAATCCTGAAAATCTGAGTCTCGTGCTGTAATTCATGCACTCTTGCTTTTTGTTCATGGGAGACGTAGTACTAAGAAGATAGGTCTAGGATTTTCAGGCTTTCCAGGATTTCCAGGAAAGCAGGATTTTCGAAGTTCCAAGCCTCTATATTTGTTCATTGCAGCCCTACAATACGGCGAGTGGTCCTCGCAACAGCATCTCTGGTGAAGTTTCCGGAAGTCAGTCAGGCATGTGGAATTCCTGTACCCAGTCATCCTCGGGTAGATGCTCTTCCTCGGGTTTCGCCACAAGTTCCTATCATGAAGGAGGGTGATGACTGGGGAGCACTCTTGCGTCAAAAGATCATGGAAATTAAAAAACTGAGATGGAATTGAATCGAAATCTTTCGTATACCTGGACTACTTCTGGTTCCTGATTCTTGCGGAATTATTCGCAGGGATTAGTAATTGGTCATCAGCCAGTCTCTAGCGCAACCATTTCAATGAATGATGTTTTTTCCATGTTTTCTTTGTGAAATCCTTTTCCCTGAATATCTATGTTAAATTAAACGCTGTGAATATTTAATTCTTCATCAAATTCCAAGATACAAAGGAGACTTCCCTTTTCTTTTCGTTTTCATGGTCTTGGCTATGTGTGTTCATGTGAATCGTAGTCTCTTAGCATTTATAACCAGGGTTCATCAGAAGACAGGAACTTGAAAAGGTGATTTTTGGCGTTAGCATCTGAATGAGTCATGGAATCTCTATTTTAAGAGTGAAGTTGGAGCGATGCTATTTGAAGACGTGAAAAAAAAATAAATTTTCGAATCTTTGTGCTTACTCTGAATTATCTAGTTATCTTTGAATGATGTCTCTAAAATAATGCATGCAAAACACAAGTATTGTAATCTTTTTTTGGATTCACGAATCTCTTCCTCAGCTTGGTGGTAGAGATTTGGATTTTGGTAAGAATTTTGCTGTTGCAGGGCTCGTTCTGATTCTCTGCCTTCATGTTGCCATAACCATCTATGGGGATTCTTAATCAAGACTCAGACAGAGAATCTGCCGTTCACAGACAGAAATAGTCCTTTACGATTCCGCGTTCATGCTTGAGAACTGTAGGGGAGCGGCACCAGTTCGCGAACAGGGAGCCAGTTAGCGAACGAGGGTTATGAAATGCGATTTGGCCTTTTGTTACTCTAGTTTCACTCTCCATCCCAAGCATTAATTAATCAATCAATCAAATCAATCCATTTTCTGCAGATACCAAAAGCTGGAGCGTGTAACTCGAGAAACAAAAGACCAAATCGCATTTCATGACCCTCGTTCGCTAACTGGATCCCTGTTCGCGAACTGGTGCCGCTCCCCTAATCAATATGGCAACATTCTGGGAAAAGAGGACCACCCAAAATCACTCAAGAGGACATACCTCACAAGCATTTCCAGAGTGGAAAGGAAACATATAAATGATGAATTATGTCAGGTTGGGGTATTAATTCAGCGTGGAAAGTGAATGCATCAGACGGAAACAACCGAAGTAGGTAATTCTCGTTGGAGTACTCCCAGCCGAACCAGGCTCGGCGGCAAGGTTCCCGGAATGGGAAATCATTTATGACTGAAGAAGTATCTTTAGGCCCCTTAACCCTTTCAGGAGTATGAATGTGCTGGTACGTCCCGCTTCTTCATGTGAATGGCTTTGAATGGAAGGCACTCGCACACCTCCAGAACAACCCACTCCTGAAAGAGTTAAAAAAAACACTCCTCAAAGGGTTAAAGACGCCTGGAAGTCATACTGCACGTCAGCGTTTAATGTTGACCTAATGTGGGCTGCCAAGGTGGGCAGTTAATTCGAAAAGCCCAACGTTGGGCCGCGGGACAGGCCCACGAGGGCCCAAGGTTGATTTCCAAAGTGGGATCCATATTGCATATGTACACTATGTCCCAAAATTTTTAAAACTTTATCCAATTTTTTGCCATACGTAATTGGTTCAGGCTATCGCTGTGCGCCTTTGTGGGCTGATTAATGCAACAAATAAGCACATGCATCCAAAGTTATAACAAAACCCATTCGCTGGTTCTTGAAATACAGGAAGTGATTCAGAGCGTGCCAGCAGTAAGGGAGTGCCGCCAAAACTGTACGGGCGCATTAGTCCGAATTCAGTATTGTGCCTCATACGGGATGGCTGACACGATGCGCACGACCAAGATAACTGCATTATTCTTTCCTGCTTGACCCTCGGATGAGGTGCTCGAAGGATCCGCCGTGCCATTCTGTGAACAGGTACGTGACATTGATCGTGACATTGATCGAAACCCAAACGCTGCACGGTTCGCATCTTCCTGCGACGGGGAAAGGTGAGTTCCCTCTCTGACTGGCTGTTCTCGCGCCGAGTGCGGCCGGCGGCAATGGTCCGCCGCAACCTTACTTGGAATAAGGTGCTGCATCTCCGAAATGAATCAATGGATTTTGATACAACTTTGCGTGCATGTGCTTATTTGATGTATTAGTCAGTCCTCAAAAGCGCACAGCGATAGTCTGAACCAATAATGAGAAGCTACAATTTGAAAGTTCCAATTATTTTGGGATGGAGTGTAGATTTCCGACATAGACTTAACGTTGGCCCAACATGGGTGTGCGGCCTGTGATATTTGAATAGACCTTCCCGAACCCATTGGTTGAGAGAACGAGGTATAATCCGTTTTGGAATGACTGAATGCAGAGATTGGGGGGAGTGGAGACGAGCTGCTTGTTACTCGCCCTCCCAGACAGACGTTTCACTTTCTGCACCCTTGCCGTCCGACCACGTTGTGAACACGTGCTTGATGTGACCCTCCTGCGACACTTTCAAGGACATTCGACTCCACGGCGATCGTTCAGTCTTCCCTCTCACGGTTTCTCGTCCCAAGGTCACGAACTATCTCAGTCCCAAGAAAAACGTGAAACTACTAGGCATCTGGCCGGTTTGGAGGCTTCCTGTCCGCCATGTATTTCAGAGGTACAAGAGATCCTCGCGGATCTTCGAAACGTTACACATTCGACGAGGCTCTACTTTCAAGTAAGTTCAGTTACAGAGGCTGTGTTTCCCATATATTGTCAATCTTGTATTCATTAAACATACTTTTGTAAAACGTAGGGGAAAGACACCAGTTCGTGGGCGGGCACCTACTTGCGGATTATTTTGCGTTTTCTGCATTCCCATATATCTACGCATGAAATTCATATCCTCGACAGCTCGATTCGACTGATCCGACTTATTCTAGCTTCATCTCCGGTCTAGATTTTCTGAATGATAAGACAACGCTAAATCGTCCACATATCGGTGCCCGTCGGCGAACTGACGTCTATCGTTCCCCAGGTTATTTACATGAGATGGGCATTTACGATCACCTATGGCTAATCATTCACACTGTGCCCTTTAGATTATGATATACCGGGTGACCAAAAAAACCGTTCCGAATTTCGTGCAGCTGCAGACGGGACACCATGCTAAGCATCGTATTGAAATTTTCAGCGAGTCATACCCAATATAGATAGGTGGCTTTAGGATAATTTAAACGAAATTCCTTGCTCTGAGCATGAGTAAGGGCTCTTTCCGTACAAGTCGTCAAATGAGCAAGTGTGTCAGTGCGTTTGCTGTCGTGCTGCCTCGGCGGGAGATCCAAGGAGGATACATCATGAAGGACCCATCAAGCAGATCTTTCATTGAGCTCAGGCGCGTTTCTTTGCACACTCGCTCTTTTGACATCGCGCGGGAGAAAAATTGTTACTCACGTAGTTTGCAACAAATTTCATTGACATTTTTGTTAAGTTACCTGCAAACATTGCATGTAAAAGCCTGTAAATTTCCAGTGGATAATTCATATGGTACACCGTCTGCAGGCGTGTAAAATTCGGAATTTTTTTTTGGGCCACCCGGAATTTTAGAGTGATGCCAAAGCATATTTATAGATGTGATGCGGAACGCAATGGTACTTGGGCATTGGCCATATACTTTAGGGGCATCCATACACCACGTATCCATTCGAGTGAAAGAGAGAAGAATGGGAAGTGACGATCTTGATTCTTTATATCATTCTTGTGAAACTGGTTCTTTTTTTTTCTCGTCATATAAAATTTCGAGGTATGGAGAAGAATTCCAGGTCCTGTTCCAGTTCCCCTGGGGTCTGGTGGGATTTTTCAGCCACATAGTCATTTTGTACGTCGTTATCTGAGGGGTGGTGTCAGATGACGGTTTGTATGCTCATCGATTCCCTGTCGTCACCGATCGGTCCTTTCCAAAAGTACTGTGCTGTTTTAGATGAAAGGTAAACTGAAAGGGCAAGAAGTTGTACAGTTAGGACCATCTCGCACTGCGATTCTCAGCCGAGGAGATGTTATCAAGCCTTTCAATTCCAGCCCTTTGGCGTGAATTATCAGATGAGGCATTTCTGTGCCTCTTTTGCATTCTCAATTTTAGTCTCCTATTTTCTTGCCGATTGATTACTTGCGCTCATCTGACTGGATATTGATGACTTAAGAAAAAGGCTTGGATTGACAGACTCTGGCGATGGTTGCCCCAGAGATGGTTAAAACATGATGGCGTCTGTACACCACTGCACAGATGACCATCATGAGGGGATCAAGGTAGCCATAATGATGACAACATGTTTTATGGACGGCCCCTAATCGCGGAAAGAATCTGTTCAATCTCTATCATGATTCATGGGCTGGGGGCTTTAGAAGCAGGGACGTGCAACTCCTTTTCAGGTTGTACGAGAGAAAACCGACGGCAACCAGGTTGCATCCCAAATTAAACGATCATACGGATGCATTAACATGCATATCATATTCGCTGTAAATTAACGTGCATAGGCAACATATACGCTGTTGAGAACATGGGTCTTGCACTAGTGTTATAGGACGGTTCATTAGTCTGCATGAAATTATCTAAGGAAAAAATCCAGTGGCAGTTGAATATTATTTGTCGACTTCTGAGCTGCAAAGAGGAAAAAATGAGGAATTAAATCGACGCTGAGGACTGAGAATGGAAAAATTATATTAAAAGGCTACCTCCTCTCTCTTTCTCTCATGAATCCTAGAACTTTTAGGCAATTGTGGGCCTTCAAAAGCAATACCTAAAATACTGAAAACTTGGCATTGTTTGAAGCACGTATAGTTCCGTCTTGTTCCTTATCGCGTCATAGATTTTTACCTAATGCCAAGACATGACATGACATTAGAGTTAATAAATCATCGCAAAAAATCTTCTTTCTTACACTTGGAATATATTTCGCTATGTTTATCTAGGAAATTCATATAATGAGAAATAGTATTGTTTGAAGATGTAAGAATATGCACATGCTCGAAACTGTAAAAAAACTAATTTTTTTATATACAGTATTTTTTCCCGACAGATCTGGGAAATTTTGCTAAATTCGAAAACTAAATTCAATGGGATTCTCGAATCCTTTTCATTGACGATACAATACAGTAAACATGACATGAACAGATAATATCCAACAAGCCGTCTAGCAAGCCAGGCATACCAGCATACTTTCGCTTGGGATTTATCATAGAAAACTCGTTTACCGTTGAGTTGCCATTAGTATAACTTTAATACATGGAAAACATTTTTTTTAAGATATTGCTTATCAAACTCATCATATATTCCGATAAATCAATTCCCGGAATGCTGTGTATTATCCACTAAGTACTGAGAGAAACTTGGATGATGCGCAAATGTAGATCAGATGTCCTCTTGAATCATTCTAGACTTGACCAGCAATGGAGGAATTTACCTGCCAGAACAAGTTCCTACCCTCAGTCACTCCAGGCTGAAGGCTCTCAGTACGCTTCCCTATGGGGAACTGTGCTACCAGTTACTCTCTGAGTTCATTCCGAAAGAGTCTTTGAATCAGTCCGGTAGGTCTGCATTCTGCGCAGATTTACTGCATTGCGTCTTTGGTATTCAGTTCATCTTAAACCTATTCTCTTCTTTTCTTCTTATAGACTTCTCAGCAAGCATTTTTGAAGAATTTGATGATCCGAAGGAAGTGATTCACGTTACCAAGCTTAAAGGAGGCCTCAATATAGCAGAGCTCTATTTGGGACCAACTCTTGCCTTCAAGGACCTTGCATTGTCTGTGGTGGGAAGTCTTGTTGACAGCCTCTTGAAGAAGAAAAAGAAGAAGGCGATCGTGCTTGTAGGTAAGTGGAGAAAATGCACGTAGGTTTAAGACTAGAGATCCTATTCTTTGGGACCCACTGTGAGTTCCTTGGTAATATAAGAACTGCATTTTTTTGTACTTCTTTTTCCGCAGTGGATCAAAGTGTTGCTTAGAGAGACAACTATGCCCAATTGCTTTCCTCAGGAAGAAACGATGATGAACAACAGCTATATAGGACAAACAGAATAGAATGAAATTGGAAAAGAATATTAGTGAACGACTTCTGATGTTCAACAAGAGTAAGGGATCCATAGTAGACAATCATTTCATACCATAATGATCCAAATGGTTCGTAGATTGACTATCTTGTGGCACCACAAACACATGACAGCCATGTTCTTTTCAAAACAACTTATTCAAATGGTATGAGGTATGCATTACTTAGGTTGTTATGTTGCGATTCAGCGACTAGTGGTGACACAGGGAGCGCAGCCATCCACAGTGTCAAGAAGATGGCGAATGCGGACATCATTGTGCTCTACCCGAAAGGGCGTTGCACTCACGTCCAGGAACTACAGATGACTACAGTTCAAAGCCCCAATGTTCACGTATTTGCTGGTTTAGATTATTCTGGATTCTGTAATTGTGTTTCTTAAGTGTTTCACGAAATCGAATCAGGAAGTGTCTCCTTGCTTTTTCTTCAGCGGAGGGGACTTCTGATGATCTGGATGAAGTCATGCTGGCAGTCACATCGGATTCCGCCTTTGCTGAAGCACACGGGCTGCTAATCTTCAACAGCATTAATGTTGGTCGCATCTTATGCCAGATCCCCATGTACTTTTGTGCCTACTACCATCTTTGTGATGTTGAGACCATGGAGCCGCTGGAAGTCGTCGTTCCGACAGGAGCCTGTGGCAGCATCACAGGTTTTTATTATTTATAATATATTTATTCATGTGAAAGCGGAGCGAATTTACATCCAAGCGGTTGTCTGATGGCTTTGATTGATCCAAGTGCGAACTGTTTCATATTCCAACAGCGGGAACAATTGCAGCTAAAATGGGACTCCCAATTAAAATTGTGGCATGCACCAACAAGAATGATGTTGTGACTCGTTGCATCCAGAATGCTGAGTTCTCTCAGGAGTCGCAAGTTCATCATACATATGCTTCAGCAATGGATATACAAGTAAGTTTGCAGTAGCATATACATTGTTAATATTAAATAATCCAAGAATACAGAGAAAAGGGATTTATGCTTCGTGTTTTTGCAGAAATCTAAATTCCACCAATATGCATTATTGTCTGTTACTCTTTCCAGTGTCCATACAACATGGAAAGAATCTTGCATCTGTTCTGTGATGGAGATGGAGGTTTGGTACAAGACGTGATGGGAGCCTTTGAGTCGCAAGGAAAAACTGTCATTCCCCCTCATGTACATGCCTCTTTGAAGGATGTCATTCCTGGTAGATACCACTTCAATTTAAATTTGAGCCGAATTATTTGCTGATATATATTTTGTTTCCGTAGTTAGCTGTAACATCAAATCCAAGCTGCTCCTATTTCTGCCTCCAGCTAAGAATATCAATCAAGCGACCATTGTGGTTTCAGAGTGAAACTACCTTTCCAGAACCATGCCTCTTGAACTATGAAAGGTGGTTTGCACTGCGAAACCACACGAATGCAAGGTTTTCAATGAATAAGCCTCCCTGAGGGTAATCTTTCTAGGTTTTTCCCCCGAAGTTGAAGTCTCAGACTGAGAATGATGTACCCACGTGAGTTTTCACAACCGAAAATCTGATTTGCTCCTTGGGAATCATCCACCTGCTTCACAAGACTAAAATTAAATTAGATCTCTTTCTGTGTTGCAATGCAGGAGTAAGGGCGATTTGGTTTAATATACCGTGCAATGTTAATTTTCCTGGTCCCTAATATTTATTTTACTCTTCATTGTCTCCATTTTTCCTTATCTTTAATATTAATGCAGGTTTTAGCTTTCTCCCATAAAATAAATTAGTTTCAGCTTGGTCTAGAATTAACATGGTATCTGAACAGTAGTCCCACCGGTTATGTGGCAGTACATGGCAATTTTAGATTGTCTCTTTTTTCAGAATCCTATTCTGCCAGTGATAAGGAGATCCTGAAAACTATGAAGAGATGCTGGGATGAGAATTCATATGCCATATGCCCTCATACAGCCACTGGTGTTTCCTTTCACTATACGCATAGGTAAGATACGTCTTCCCACGTAAAATCTCGACAGTCGTTTCATCAAATGAGCAAGAATTTTTGCGTTAGATAGCATTTCATACCTATGAGAATGAAGACACCTGTTGAATGCATTAGAAGGCCACATCAGTAGCCTTCATTTATGAGAGGTATCGGACGCCTCTATTTATTTTTTGGTCCAGGACAGTGACACGGTTGGGTCGTATTGATTTGATTATATCCATTTCTCCAAGTATAAGCATGGAGTCTTTGCCTATCGATTTCAAAATTTCCAACAGTGCAGACTCAGCCTTATATGATCTATTGCTCTCACTTTTATCAGCCTCAATTAAGTGACTTGACGCATTGAAAATAAATATATGCATATAGAAATGGAATCCTATCCTGAAAATCTGAGTTTCGTGCTGTCTTTCATGCACTCTTGCTTTTTTTCATGAGAGACGTAGTACTAAGAAGGTAAGCCTGGTTTGAGAAAGTAGGATTTTTAAAGAAGTTCCGAGCCATAATATTTGCTTATTGCAGCCCTACAATACGGCGAGTGGTCCTCGCAACAGCATCTCTGGTGAAGTTTCCGGAAGTCAGTCGGGCATGTGGAATTCCAGTACCCAGTCATCCCCGAGTAGATGCTCTTCCTCAGGTTTCGCCACAAGTTCCTATCATGAAGGAGGGTGACGACTGGGAGGCACTCTTGCGTCAAAAGATCGTGGAAATTAAAAAACAGAGATGGAATTGAATCGAAGGCTTTCGTATTCCTGGGCTTCTTTTGGTTAATAATTCTTCAATAATTCTTCGCTGGGAATGGAAATTGCTGATCAACCAGTCTCTGGTGCAGCCATTTCAATGAATGATGCTTTTTCCATGTTTTCCTTGTGAATCCTTTTCTATAAATATTCAAAGTTTTAACTTTTATCTAGCTGCTGTAAATAATTAATTCTTCATCATATTACAAGACACAAAGGAGACGTCTCATTATCTTTTCATTCTCATGGTCTTGGTAATGAGTGCACATGTGAAGTCTCTTGGCATTCTTCACCAGCGTTCATTAAAAGGAAAGAACTTGAAAAGATTGTTTATGGGTGTTATTAATAGCATCTGTATGAAGCATTGAATCTCCATTTTAAGTTGGTGCGATGCTATTTGAAGACGTGAATAAAAACTAAAATTTGAATCATTGTGGGTACTTTGCATAATCTTGTTAATGTCTCTATTTAAAAAAGTGGGTACATACGAGGTATGGATCCACGTTTCCATTACCAAAAAGTCTTTACTTTGGATTTCATGGATGAAATATAGTGCTACGATGTAAATGAGCCTTTGAAATATATTATTTTTTTCTGGATTGTTAGTAATTTTGTGCTTCATACCTGTTACGAGTACCCAGTAACGAGAAAATGCGAATAAGTAAAAGAAATAAAGATATTATTCGGGCTGAACAGATGGTATAGAAGAGACTCACTATGTCGATGCCAATAAAAAATGAAAGTGCCCCTTACATGGAACCTCTAAAGCGTTGCAGAGGTTTTCTCGCACATAGGTGTTCTCCATTAAAGAAATAAAAGAACTTGGCCCTTAAAAAAAAACTGTAATAATGCCAGAAATACCCAAGTACCAACGGCTCTACGCAGTCAATCGAAAAGGGTAAATACAAAAGAGGAACTGTCCAGAAGACATTAGTTCTCCGGCAACTTTTCTTTCCTTCAAATTCAACTGGTATTAGACTACAATTGGTAGTATATCTAGGTGGCTTGAAGTCTCATCTCCCTAGCCATTGCCTTAGAATGAAGGTTATGGGTGCAGTGAAATGCATGTGACAAGAACGGGTATCCAATCCTCGTGGGAAATGTCTGTAATGGATCGGTAGGCACAGGAAACATGTCAAGAAGACATTCTACACGACCATGATGATGACCAGCAATGCTGAGAATGATGACCCTTCAAAGGCATTGCCAGAACGTTTCAAGGTGAGGATGCCTAGGAAAGATGCCAGAGCAAGTAATTCCGATTCTGGACCTATACAATCTCCTCTTCCTTGATGTTACTCACGTGCCAGAAGCCCTGAATCGCAACCTGAGACTTCACGACTGAATCCAGCTCCCTCAAGTCGTTTTTTTTTCTCTTTATCAGAAGATACTTCAATATACGATATCTGAAGTCCATGCCTATTTCTATGGTAAAATGTAAAATAATCGTTACAAGTCTTAAAAATTGCAAGTTTTGAAACGCCAATAATTCTTGTAATCATCGTACGACACTGCAACTACGACTTATTTATATACAATTCATCAGCAAGAAGACAAATGAGGAAACAACTTCCTCATAGACCAGTGGTGCCCAACACGTGGCCCGCGGGCAAATAAGTGGCCCGCGAGGCTCTAACCCATAATGCCCTCAGGTTTCCTTACAATTTTCTTGTACAATACTAGTGACTTAATATGCCCGCGACGGCTGCAGTAGTGAGCTATGTGGCCTCCTAGGCCGAAAAGGTTGAGCACCACTGGCATAGACGTACCCATGGCCAGACTGCATGAACACACTTCATCGTAGACAGTGATCCGATCCGAAGGGATCCTGGGAATACGTTTGCATATGGGTGAATGTACATTGAATATTATGAGCCTATGAAATTGAACTGGCAATGTAGGTTCTTTATTGAACAATGTGCACCTTCCGAGACAAAATCGGATTCCATCCATCGAAGCCTGTTATCCCTCTATTGCGGATATGCATGGATCACTTTGGAGGCTCCTGGTTCGACGGTTGCTTTCGTTCTTGTCCGCCCTTTTGAGAGGCATGAATCTTTCTCTGCTGGGTGAGAGTGCTCTTGTGGCCGTCCACGACCTGCTTTCCCTGCTGAGAGCTCTTTTGCTTCAGCTCCTGGGCTTCATTTTGTGTCTCCTGGTTTTCCAAGAGTTGCTTGGATTCATGAAGGTCGTGTTGTCTCATCTGGGCAGCTTCGTTCTTCGGGAATTCGTTGAGTGATCCCACACCATTCTTGAAGACACGACGAAAAACGCTTTCGTGATGCACTGGTGCTCTAGATTTAATTGCCTGGAAGGACAGCAGGAAGTCATTGTAATTGCTTCTCAGGTGAGTTTTTTAAAGTTGATTCATCAAACCTTATTTGGTGCGTTCATAATGATCTTTCCTTTCTTCAGATATTGGCTCTTTGATTCGGGTTCTTTGGAAGAAGCCTATTTACAGGAATTAACAGTATCAGTTTAATGAAAGTAATTACAGCAGAACTGTCAAGTCACATACAGCTTGATCTGTTGAAACTGCATTGGGAGATTTCATGCTCTGCTTCTGTCAAGAGAGATTTTAACTCCGAGAGACCATTTTAAGAATGAGAAGGAAAAGGAGCAAAAATAAGCCCTAGATGCAAGGTCACTCAGTTCTCAGGATGGTGAATGAGTGAACAGGTTCTGATCTCCTGTTTGGATTCTGCGACAGCGAACAAAAGTGTGCCGTCGAGTTTAGTCACCAGCCTTCCGGAATTTTACCTTGATCAACGTAAACTTAATTCTAAAATTATATTGATAAAACTGCAACATTTAACTGCAATTCAACCTTCACACCAGAGGACTTTACAGAAATTTAGACTAAAGGGTGAGATGAGATAGAAGCTGATGTTTGAACGTAAATGGGCATAGATGGTTAGAGATGAAAGACGGAAGGCCTACATCAGGCAGAGACTGAATCTGTTTGTCTACAGTATATTGCCTTTCCTGTCATTTCGTCGCCTCACATTGGAACTTTGGAAGAAGACCAGTTGCGTATCATTTCATTCATGACTGGTGGTCTCGTAACTCACAATTTGGAAGAAGACCAATGGATGATGCCCACCCTTCTTCATCTGCTGCTGACCCTGTAGAGACAAAACAAATGAGTGGCTGAGTGTCGTTGAGCCAAAACCGTCTATGGCCACTGTAGGATCGAGAAGTGATGGCTGTCACCGTTCGGAAATCAGCATTCGGAGTGCAATAATCGCCTGGGTGATCGCAGGACAAAATATCCTGATGCCACCAGGTACCATTAGGGCATTGCTACAATGGAGAAAGATAACAGGAAGTCAAGCCCTGTCGTGATGAGGCCGACGGGAAAGCGCATTCGACTCACGAAGTGGAATTCTTGGCAGTCGATGCACTCGTAGAACCACTCGCAGTTCTCTGGGTCTGGGAAGAACCCGTCGTCCTCTGTACATTCGAAGTTACCTGTTCCTGTCGTTGTCGGCGGTTCCGTCGTCGGTGCTTCTGTCGTCGGCGATTCTGTTGTCATAGTCGTCGTCGGCGATTCTGTTGTCATAGTCGTCGTTGGCGATTCTGTTGTCACAGTCGTCGTTGGCGGTTCTGTTGTCATAGTCGTCGTCGGCGGTTCTGTTGTCATAGTCGTCGTCGGCGTTGCTGTTGTACTCGAAGTTCCTTGGGGTGCTGAGAAGCAAAGTGAGTGATCTCATGGGCTACGGTTTATCGAAAGGAGTATTTCCCCATTCGGTAGAAATGTATCTCACTTGTCGGTCTAGGAAGGCGATCTCCGCAATCGACTATTTCTGGATCCTCGCATGTTTTCTTGAGATCATCGAAAAGTTTGTCTAAAATGCATTCCAAGAGGTTGTGGTGGAATTCGATGCAGACATAGTACTTGTAGCAGTATGTTTCGTGGGCAAATGTTCCCTCTTCCGTCGGGCACTGGAAAGCTACAGGTGTATCTGCGGAATAGAGCATTCCTGATGAGTGGAAGATTCCCGTTCCACTCGAAATCTTCCACATCGACAAGCACTCACCTGGACTACGAATGCTTCGATCCTGGCAATCTACGCTGTCCGGCTTGTCACAGGACTGTGTTATGGTATTGAAGAGCTTGCCGTGCTGACATTCAAACTCTTTCCCTGTCATCCCAACTCCCGTGCACGAGTGATAGATGTTGCAGTACACCTCATGAGGATACTGCCCAGCATCAGGGCATTGAAATGCCCAAGACCCACTGAGAACTGGAATTTCGGGAACAGCATGTCTTCATCTATTCACCCCTCTTTCCTCAAGATAAGGTTTTGAAAGAAGTCGACTTGCCTCCAAGGAGAAAAGCGGTGAGCGATTTGAAGCTTCCCATCTTCGCCACTCGAGAACACTCGACTGACAGGTGGAATCCTGGCCATTGAGGCCTAGAAACCGCAACGACCAACGACCATACATCGCTTATCGAATGATACGTGGGACTCTTAGGAATAACCGATGCCCTAAGTTTACAGTGCGTGATGCATGTTTGCATATCTATGGCATGTGGTGCAACAGGGTAGGTAGTGAAATGTACAGCTCGTAACTCGAAAATTTTGCCATTCATCAACTTCTAAATTTCGTCAATGGATATTATGGATAACAGAAAAGAGGGTGATTTCGTTATCCCCAGCAGTCGCAAGTCATTTTCCAATTTTAAAAAGTCCCTGCTAAGAAACAGCGTCATTTCGGAGTCCGGTTTTCAATGACATGATTGAAGGGGTAATTGAATGTCGATTATGACATATCACCCATTTGCTTCACACGGATGAGTAGCTAAGCAGGCTTGAAATAGGAGAAAGCACTGTTTTTCAATGGAGACAATTACGTCAAGACATGTCTTGGTCTGTAGCAGTTAGAAATTTAATCGCGTAAACTCCACATGAACAAATGGAAGGCTAACGCGATCTTTGAAATATTGTGATTGCAGGAGCTTAATGATTTTTTAAAAAAAGCATGGTTTATTCCAAAATATAAAAGGTCTCCTTGCAATTTAATATTTTACTAGCATTGTGAGAACTGAGATTCAGTCCCATGTTCCAACTCAATAAATTTATTGAGACAATCCAACCAGTTCAAGATGTTCCATAATTTTAGTGAGGTCATTGTTTTGTGACTGTAACTTGGGTGGTGAAGTGAAAAGGAGTCCCAAGGGACGCATGCGGATGCCCCAAGAGGAACCCTCTGCCCCTACTATGCCGCGGCCTGTTTTCCGTGAATGGGATCCGCCTCTGCGGTCTCCTTGACCCTGCAACTACCTTTTGGGTTTAATGGACCCAGATACAAAATCAAGCCGGTTGTGTGGGCTGCGCCATAAACTTCTTTGTCAATCTGTCAACTATAACCAATAAAATTTAACCCTGCATATTGTACCATATTCTTCATTTTTGCGTTCCCGTATTGTAGAACTTGGCTTCTAGGTCCATTGGACCCAACAGGTAGCGCGTGATAAAAAATCTAGCTGGTAGTTCCAGGGTTAAGGCTCACTCCTTACCGTCTTCCAGAATCCTCCTGCAATGGGTCCATCATATTGGTTCGCCCCAAATCCATGACTTCGACATCGCCAAGTCAAGTGGGACCTTTCCCCATCTGCGGTGAAAGTTAGAGTGTCGGAACTGGAACGGAACGGAAAGGACATTCGGAACGGAACTCGTGTCTTCTCCCGGAACGGAACGTTGGGTAGAACGATTTCATTCAGAGAAAAGAAACGATATAACGGAAAGGAACTTCGGGTTTTTCAGTTCATGCTTCCTTTTTTTTTTCTTTACTTGCCAGGACAGAGCCAGACTCTCGATAGATATTAAATTTCTATTCCCTTCATTTTCGTCGGATACTTAGCCTAATTACAGCTTCTTTCTTGTTTTTTATCGTCTCGGGGACAGAGAATCTATCCTGTAATAAGGCTTGAAAGTATTCATGCACTCGAGCTTATTGTCCAATGATCCCCAACGCCAATCCTTTCTCACTCGAATGGAGACCGCATTTCTGGAAACTAGACCGCGATCCCGGAAAAAAAAAACTAGGGGAAAAAAATGGCATCAATTGCGTCACAAATCGAGTGAGGGATGCATTTACGCATGAATCGTTACAACTGGGGAGGGTCTTTGAGACCCCTAGTTATCTTATCAAATAGGGTTCTTCCAGGAATCCTGGGTTCTGAGTCCAAGCGAGTTTTGCTTTCCCCTTGTGCAATCTGACGTGAATCTTCCCTTTTATCTGCCGTGTTCAAAAATTAAAAATGAAGTAGGTGCTATTACTTTTCCAATCGATACAAGTTGTAAGTTATTCATTCGTGTGAGAAGTCTACTTGTGAGATCATAGTGCTGCTGCTCTTAATTATTTCAGGCAAGGAATTCGCCAGCAGCAACCAAATTTCTTCAGACTGTTTCGAGCGGGCCAATTTATACCGTAATAAAAGACTTCAGTCCGCTTCTCAATACTTCAAATAAAATGAGGTCCAAGTCTTTCGACGACCGTATGCAGTCGCTTGCAGTTACACTTTTAACCTGGCAGGCTCAGGTTCATTAGAAGACGGGATCATGTTCTCAAGGTGGCAGGGAAGATGCTGAAGATGACCCACGCCAACAACTGGCGTCGCCTGTAACATGCGATAAAATGGGTGACCTTACGGATAGGATCGATTTGGATGACAGGCGTCGATCAGTCGAAGATATAGGGCAGGGGTCGGGCACCTATGGCTCATGAGTCAAATTTGGCTCACGTAGCCGAAAAGTTTAGCTCATTGAGTCATGATTGAAAGTAATAATTGTACCTCATTTTTCTCATGCAATAGACATATGCAAGAATGCATATGTCTATTGCCAACTTCAGAAGAAATTATTTTGTTCTGGAAATCTTTCTCTCGCAAGCACTTAGCTCAATCTTAATATGACTCACATGGCCAAAAAGGCTCCTATGTTATTCGTACGCTCATGCGCAAAAGACCCATCATTCCCTCTGCAGTATCGATCCAATGGGAAAGAAAAGTAAAATTCCTCTGGTTTATTTATGTTCAATTTCCAAGTTGAAAACGTCTTCTCTACCATTTGCATTTTGCCCAACATTTCCAAGTGCTATAAGGAAGCATTCGCTGTTATTTGCATATTGCATCGATCCGAGAAACTTTTTATAAGAAATGCCACAAAAAAGAATATCGAGCAATTTTTTCACAACCGTGCAAGCGCCTGTCAAAAGTCGCTCGCCAGAGACAAACTGAATGAGGGTTAATCAACATTTGAAAGAAATTAAGCGTTCGTTGCTTAAGCTTCAGATAGTTGCATTTTTCCCCCATTCATTTATGGTGAACATTTCTAGGAGGGAAATAAGATTGGTTTTTCATCTTACAATCTTTAATTCCACATGACTTGAACCACTCAACATTCGAAGTAGATCACTGTTGCAAATAACTATGAACGTTAGATTGATCCAGTACAATCATTTGGTTTCATACAGCCTGGATCGTTTGTTTATTGCCAAATGGGTCTCCGCACGATCGGACACAAAGTAATTCGCGGAAATGTACCCGAAATGTATCATACTTTATCACCTTCGTTGCAACCCACGACCGGTTAAATATGGCATTATTTTCTGAAGTCAGGCGAAGAGTTATGAAGTTTATTTTACTCCAGGTTCAGAAAGCTGCTGGCATTCGTCAACGAACATCAATGTGAATATTGGACCGTCCGAGTCCACCATTAGAAGACGGGATCATGCTCTCAAGGTGGCAGGGAAGATGCTGAAGATGTCCCATGCCATCAACTGGCGTCGCCTGTAACATGCGATAAAATGGGTGACCTTACAGATAGGATCGATATGGATGACAGGCGTCGATCAGTCGAGGATATAGGGCAGGGGTCGGGAGCCTATGGCTCATGAGCCAAATTTGGCTCACGTAGCCGAAAATTTTAGCTCATTGAGTCATGATTGAAAGTAATAATTGTACCTCATTTTTCTCATGCAATAGACATATGCAAGAATTCGTATGTCTATTGCCAACTTCAGAAGAAATTATTTTGTTTTGGAAATCTTTCTCTCGCAAGCACTTAGCTCAATATGACTCACATGGCCAAAAAGGCGCCTGACCCCTGATGGAGGGGGTCGTTGAAGCATTTCTGCGAGAGTTCTGCTCAAGCGATTCCGACCGACAAGCCGCACCCGAAGATTTCGCGCCGACGAGTTCCAAAGCAACTCACGGCAGACCATCTTGGTCTTTCGGCAGAAGTACCGAGGCTCGCCACCTCCAATGAAATTCAGACAGAAAATCATACGAGAAACAGGGGCAGGAAATGTAGACGGTGCTGCATCCAACACGTCTCGACGATTTCACAGAAGCATCACTGAAAACGGTCGTTTCCAACTCGAGTTACTGCTGCTTTCCCCGCGCGATGCCAAACCAGTGGCTCTCACTGGTTTGGCGTCAGTGCGAATGTGCGTGGTGTCCTCCGCGCGCGAAGGACTTCGCCCAGCAGAGTCCAGCTGAGCTGGAAGACGGAGACAGACAGTTGCTCATTTGACGTCATGCAAAATGAGCTGGGACTCGGGTTCTCAACGACAAATTTCTCAAAAATTTCCGGAGACTACCATCCAGGGTTTGCACATTGGCAGACTCGCTAATTTGACGATGCGCGGAAGGGAACTGTTGCTTGGGTTCTCAAAGACGACTTTAATTTGAACGCGACATTTTACACATATTGCACTTGATGCCCCAGCAAACTTCCTGTTGATACCTCTAATAGTTTTCCGACAGGAAGGCTAACACTTTTGAGAACTTTCTTGGGCCGTCGGTATTTCTTCTGTCTACATGTGAAGTTTTCCTGTTACGCAAGGTGCATCGAGTAGATATACCCAATGCATACTCGTCATGATGAAAGGCTCTTGAGTCACGAGTGAGTCGGTGATAGTCGTGTTGTAGGAGCATGAATACTCCTCGTCGTGTCCCCCTCTCTCCCCAAAACACCAATTTGCTTTTGATGGGCGTTCTTGCAGAAAATATCGATTGTCCCACTTGCCTTATAAATACTGCTTATCATACGATCGATTCACCTGAATGGCTCAGACAGTAAATAGTCAGGAATTATCCTCTAAGGGATCCAGCGGCTTTATTCTAGGTCATTATAAGACATCAAGAAGTTAGGTCTAAAGGCAGAAGAACCCGTTCTTTGAACACCAATGAACCTACTGACGAGTACATGCAGTCTATAATTTCTCTAGAGCGAAAATTGATCTTCATGGAGGTCCACAACGTTCTCGAGTACTTTAAAACACATCCGGTTTCCCTTGGTAAGATCCGACAGCAAAATTGGATCACACAATGGTAGAAATTTCTTTTATGGGACTCTGTTATTTCCTCATTTCTTCATGCTAGCTTGTGAGCATGTCCGGAAATGCCAGTGAGATTATCTCCAAGCTTCAACCGTGTTGTTCTATAAGATGAAGGAACAGCGCCAAGGGAAATACTAAGGTAATTGTGAAGGATTCCCTGCTTTCCCGCAGTGCCGAATGCAGTACGTGATTGGCTTTGGGGCCTATAAAGTCATCCGCTGCTCCCAATTGTAGCCCGAACTCGCTCATGAAAATGATAATAAAAAAATACGCTCATTTTGCTTTAAGTAACGGTGTATGGTCATAATGTAAGCTTATCTCGTCATTCGATTCTGGCGCCTGCCTAGCATTCACTTTCTGCCACACATTTATTAATCTCGTGGATTGCTAAGAGCAATGGAGCTTGGCGAAGGGCCCGGGAAGTCCTCTATTGTTGGTATTTTTCCCCTTCACCCAGCCCAGCCTGGCTTTACATAGTTTTTAATGTGACGTCATGTTCAAGAACAGAAATCCCCCGTACGCTCATGCGCAAAAGACCCATCATTCCCTCTGCAGAACCCATCCAATGGGAAAGAAAAGCAAATTCCTCTGGTTTATTTCTGTTCAATTTCCAAGTTGAAAACGTCTTCTCTACCATTTGCATTTTGTCCAATATTTCAAACTGCTATAAGGAAACATTCTATGTTATTTGCATATTGTATCGATCCAAGAAACTTTTTGTAAGAAATGACACAAAAAAGAATATCAGGCAATTTTTTCACAACCGAGCAAGCGCCTGTCAAAAGTCGCTCGCCAGAGACAAACTGGATGAGAGTTAATCATCATTTGAAAGAACTTAAGCTATCGTTGCTTTAGCTTCAGATAGTTGCATTTTCCCCCATTCATTTATGGTGAACATTTCTAGGAGGGAAATAAGATTATTGAATGGAATAAGATTGGTTTTTCATCTTACAATTTTTAATTGCACATGACTTACCCCACTCAAGACTTCGATGATCCAAAAGAAGTGATTCACGTTACCAAGCTTCAAGGTGGCCTCAATATAGCTGAGCTCTATCATGGACCGACTCTCATCTTCAAGTACATTGCATTGTCTGTTGTGGGAAGTCTTGTTGACAGCCTATTGGAGAAGAAGAAGATGAATAAGGCTATCGTGTTGGTTGGTGAGTGGTGGCAAAGATGAAGCAGATTGGTTTCAGGTACCTCATCCCAGTGTCGGGAAAACTGGAGTTATTTATTAACTGTTGCCATGAGTTTGACTCTACATTCTATTATGCACACGGCATTAGTGTGTCACCGAGGAAGCAACTTTAGTTTCGAAGTTTTCGAGGAAACAGAATGGAGGTACATTTAGAAACCAATTGAAATTCATGAATACCATTTAAAACCTTTCTATTACGTTTCAACTGAAGAGGAACTTAAGTAAATTATCATTTCACACCAATTATATTAGATATGTTCAATTCTCTACCATTCCTTACAAATATAAGAGACAACCAGTCTGCACTCAAACAACCTAATTCAAATGATGTGGCGTATGCATTCCTGGGGTTGTTCTGTTCTGATTCAGCGACCAGTGGTGACACGGGAAGCGCAGCCATACATTGTGTGAGGAAGATGGTAAATGCGGACATCATTGTGCTCTATTCGAAAGGACGATGCACTCAGGACCAGGAACTACAGATGAGTACAGTCCAAAGCCCCAATGTTCACGTTTTTGCAGGTTTGGATAAATCGTGATTACGTACATATTTTCAAGTTTGTTATAAACTCAAATTAGGAGTTTTGTGTGCTTGCTTTTTTTTCCAGCGGAGGGAACATCCGATGACTTGGATGAAATCACAATTGCAGTGAAATCGGATATTGCCTTTGCTGAAGAACACGGGCTGATGATCTTCAATAGCGCCAATATTGGTCGCATCTTAGCCCAGGTCCCCATGTACTTTTATACCTACTACCGTTTTTGTAGCATAGACATCATGAAGCCGCTGGAAGTTATCGTTCCGACAGGAGGCTGTCTCTGTATCACAGGTTTGTTATTTACATTAAAATTATAGTCATGTGAATGATCCGTGCGTTTCCCTGATGACTTTGATTGATCCTGATGCGAACTGTTTCATATTCCAACAACAGGAACAATTGCAGCTAAAATGGGACTCCCAATTAAAATTGTGGCATGCACCAACAAGAATGATGTCGTGACTCGTTGCATCAAGAATGCTGAGTTCTCTCAGGAGTCGCAAGTTCATCATACATATGCTTTAGCAATGGATATACAAGTAAGTTTGCTGTATCATATACATTGTTAAATATGAAATAATCCAAGAGTACAGAGCAAAGGCCTTTATGATTCGTGCTTTTGCAGAAATCTAAATTCCACCAATATGCATTATTGACTGTTTCTCTTTCCAGCGGCCCGCCAGGCTCTAACCCATATTACCCTCAGGTGTCCTTACAATTTTCTTCTACAATACTAGTGACTTAACAAGCCCGCGACGGCTGCTTTAGTGAGCTATGTGGCCTCCTAGGCCGAAAAAGTTGAGCACCACTGGCATAAACGTACCCATGGCCAGACTGCATGAACACACTTCATCGTAGACAGTGATACAATCCGAAGGGATCCTGGGAATACGTTTCCATATGGGGAATGTACATTGAATATTATGAGCCTATGGAATTGATCTGGCAATGTAGGTTCTTTATTGAACAATGTGCACCTTCCGAGACAAAATCGGATTCCATCCATCGAAACCTGTTATCCCTCTATTGCGGATATGCATGGTTCGCTTTGGAGGCCCCTGGTTCGACGGTTGCTTTCGTTCTTATCCGCCCTTTTGAGAGGCATGAATCTTTCTCTGCTGGGTGATAGTGCCCTTATGGCCATCCACGACCTGCTTTTCCTGCTGAGAGCTCTTTTGCTTCAGCTCCTGGGCTTCATTTTGTGTCTCCTGGTTTTCCAAGAGTTGCTTGAATTCATGAAATTCCTGTTGTCTCATCTGGGCAGCTTCGTTCTTCGGGAATTCGTTGAGTGATCCCACACCATTCTTGAAGACACGAGGAAAAGCGCTTTCGTGATGCTCTGGTGCTCTTGATTTAATTGCCTGGAAAGACAGCAGGAAGTCAATGTAACTGCTTCTCAGGTGAGTTTTTTAAACTTGATTCATCAAACCTTATTTGGTGCGTTCATAATGATCTTTCCTTTCTTCAAATATTGGCTCCTTGATTCCTTGGAAGAAGCCTGTTTACAGGAATTAACAGTATCAGTCTAATGAAAGTAATTACAGCAGAACTGTCAAGTCCCATACAGCTTGATCTGTTGAAACTGCATTGGGAGATTTCATGCTCTGCTTCTGTCAAGAGAGATTTTAACTCCAAGAGACCATTTTAAGAATGAGAAGGAAAAGGAGCAAAAATAAGCCCTAGATGCAAGGTCACTCAGTTCTCAGGATGGTGAATGAGTGAACAGGTTCTGATCTCCTGTTTGGATTCTGCGACAGCGAACAAAAGTGTGCCGTCGAGTTTAGTCACCAGCCTTCCGGAATTTTACCTTGATCAACGTAAACTTAATTCTAAAATTATATTGATAAAACTGCAACATTTAACTGCAATTCAACCTTCACACCAGAGGACTTTACAGAAATTTAGACTAAAGGGTGAGATGAGATAGAAGCTGATGTTTGAACGTAAATGGGCATAGATGGTTAGAGATGAAAGACGGAAGGCCTACATCAGGCAGAGACTGAATCTGTTTGTCTACAGTATATTGCCTTTCCTGTCATTTCGTCGCCTCACATTGGAACTTTGGAAGAAGACCAGTTGCGTATCATTTCATTCATGACTGGTGGTCTCGTAACTCACAATTTGGAAGAAGACCAATGGATGATGCCCACCCTTCTTCATCTGCTGCTGACCCTGTAGAGACAAAACAAATGAGTGGCTGAGTGTCGTTGAGCCAAAACCGTCTATGGCCACTGTAGGATCGAGAAGTGATGGCTGTCACCGTTCGGAAATCAGCATTCGGAGTGCAATAATCGCCTGGGTCATCGCAGGACGAAATATCCTGATGCCACCAGGTACCATTAGGGCATTGCTATAATGGAGAAAGATAACAGGAAGTCAAGCCCTGTCGTGATGAGGCCGACGGGAAAGCGCATTCGACTCACGAAGTGGAATTCTTGGCAGTCGATGCACACGTAGAACCACTCGCAGTTCTCTGGGTCTGGGAAGCACCCGTTGTCCTCTGTACATTCGAAGTCACCTGTTCCTGTCGTTGTTGGCGTTTGCGTCGTCGGGGCTTCTGTCGTTGGCGGTTTTGTTGTCATAGTCGTCGTCGGCGTTGCTGTTGTACTCGACGTTTCTTGGGGTGCTGAGAAGCAGTGAGTGACCTCATGGGCTAGGTTTTATCGAAAGGAGTATTTCCGCATTCGGTAAAAATATATCTCACTTGTCGGTCTAGGAAGGAGATCTCCGCAATCGACTATTTCTGGATCCTCGCATGTTTTCTTGACATCATCGAAAAGTTTGTCTCCAATGCATTCAAAGAGGTTGTGGTGGAATTCGATGCAGACATAGTACTTGTAGCAGTATGTTTCGTGGGCAAATGTTCCCTCTTCCGTCGGGCACTGGAAAGCTACAGGTGTATCTGCGGAATAGAGCATTCCTGATGAGTGGAAGATTCCCGTTCCACTCGAAATCTTCCACATCGACAAGCACTCACCTGGACTACGAATGCTTCGATCCTGGCAATCTACGCTGTCCGGCTTGTCACAGGACTGTGTTATGGTATTGAAGAGCTTGCCGTGCTGACATTCAAACTCTTTCCCTGTCATCCCAACTCCCGTGCACGAGTGATAGATGTTGCAGTACACCTCATGAGGATACTGCCCAGCATCAGGGCATTGAAATGCCCAAGACCCACTGAGAACTGGAATTTCGGGAACAGCATGTCTTCATCTATTCACCCCTCTTTCCTCAAGATAAGGTTTTGAAAGAAGTCGACTTGCCTCCAAGGAGAAAAGCGGTGAGCGATTTGAAGCTTCCCATCTTCGCCACTCGAGAACACTCGACTGACAGGTGGAATCCTGGCCATTGAGGCCTAGAAACCGCAACGACCAACGACCATACATCGCTTATCGAATGATACGTGGGACTCTTAGGAATAACCGATGCCCTAAGTTTACAGTGCGTGATGCATGTTTGCATATCTATGGCATGTGGTGCAACAGGGTAGGTAGTGAAATGTACAGCTCGTAACTCGAAAATTTTGCCATTCATCAACTTCTAAATTTCGTCAATGGATATTATGGATAACAGAAAAGAGGGTGATTTCGTTATCCCCAGCAGTCGCAAGTCATTTTCCAATTTTAAAAAGTCCCTGCTAAGAAACAGCGTCATTTCGGAGTCCGGTTTTCAATGACATGATTGAAGGGGTAATTGAATGTCGATTATGACATATCACCCATTTGCTTCACACGGATGAGTAGCTAAGCAGGCTTGAAATAGGAGAAAGCACTGTTTTTCAATGGAGACAATTACGTCAAGACATGTCTTGGTCTGTAGCAGTTAGAAATTTAATCGCGTAAACTCCACATGAACAAATGGAAGGCTAACGCGATCTTTGAAATATTGTGATTGCAGGAGCTTAATGATTTTTTAAAAAAAGCATGGTTTATTCCAAAATATAAAAGGTCTCCTTGCAATTTAATATTTTACTAGCATTGTGAGAACTGAGATTCAGTCCCATGTTCCAACTCAATAAATTTATTGAGACAATCCAACCAGTTCAAGATGTTCCATAATTTTAGTGAGGTCATTGTTTTGTGACTGTAACTTGGGTGGTGAAGTGAAAAGGAGTCCCAAGGGACGCATGCGGATGCCCCAAGAGGAACCCTCTGCCCCTACTATGCCGCGGCCTGTTTTCCGTGAATGGGATCCGCCTCTGCGGTCTCCTTGACCCTGCAACTACCTTTTGGGTTTAATGGACCCAGATACAAAATCAAGCCGGTTGTGTGGGCTGCGCCATAAACTTCTTTGTCAATCTGTCAACTATAACCAATAAAATTTAACCCTGCATATTGTACCATATTCTTCATTTTTGCGTTCCCGTATTGTAGAACTTGGCTTCTAGGTCCATTGGACCCAACAGGTAGCGCGTGATAAAAAATCTAGCTGGTAGTTCCAGGGTTAAGGCTCACTCCTTACCGTCTTCCAGAATCCTCCTGCAATGGGTCCATCATATTGGTTCGCCCCAAATCCATGACTTCGACATCGCCAAGTCAAGTGGGACCTTTCCCCATCTGCGGTGAAAGTTAGAGTGTCGGAACTGGAACGGAACGGAAAGGACATTCGGAACGGAACTCGTGTCTTCTCCCGGAACGGAACGTTGGGTAGAACGATTTCATTCAGAGAAAAGAAACGATATAACGGAAAGGAACTTCGGGTTTTTCAGTTCATGCTTCCTTTTTTTTTTCTTTACTTGCCAGGACAGAGCCAGACTCTCGATAGATATTAAATTTCTATTCCCTTCATTTTCGTCGGATACTTAGCCTAATTACAGCTTCTTTCTTGTTTTTTATCGTCTCGGGGACAGAGAATCTATCCTGTAATAAGGCTTGAAAGTATTCATGCACTCGAGCTTATTGTCCAATGATCCCCAACGCCAATCCTTTCTCACTCGAATGGAGACCGCATTTC